ACGAGGAAGACAGACAAATTAATTTACGAGCGCACGAATTACCAGTGGAGAGCAGCAGCAGCAGCAGCAGCAGCAGCAAAAAAATAAAGAATGAAGGAAATACGAGGCAGTTGAGAGAAGAGTCGAAATTTTTCCAAAGAAACAAGTAATAATGCCTCGTCGGGGAGTTTTCTGCTTTCTTATCGTAATCGTAGCAGCAGCAGTAACAACATCAAGGGCAAGTGAAAATGTAATGCATATAACTAGCGCCGTGGCTGCTGCTGCTGCTTCTGCTTCTGCTACGCGAAGTTCATTAAAACTATATGAGCTCGCTCGCGCTAACAAGAAGTGTTGCGCAGTGGGCTGCGGCGCGTTCGGCACGCAACAAGTTTAAATATACGTAAACCTCGACCGAGCTATGCTGCACTGTGCCTTATCAGCAGCGGCAGCAGCGACAACGACGACGACTCGTTAAGTCCTCTGGCATAATAATGATAATTTGCCGCGCGCGCATATTTTGCAAAATCTCCCGAAGAATAATCATCCGTTTTTAACGGAGGATTTTCCCACACGCGTGTGCCCGAGCTGTGCTGCGGCTGGTATACGCAGGTGAATGCGCGCACTTGGGGTTTTAGAAATGCAGGCTAATTGACCGCGCGAGTCCGAGCCCGAGTCGTCGTTGCATCGATATCAGTCACATGTACGGAGAGAATATACGCGCGTAAACTTTATGTTCATTATTACGCTGCAATGGCACTCGGGCAGATGTGTACGTATTACTCCGACTGGGAGTTTATATAAGTACTCGTGTACGCTATGTGTGCATTCGGCCATTTGCGGGACGAAATAATCGTGCGACCACTTTGTGTACAACAACTTTCTCGGAGAAACCTCAAAGCTCAATCAGCCTCCGTATTACTCCCTGCGCGCACGCAGCAATTGCTGCAGCAGCAGCAACACAGCTTCGAATCGTATTATGCGCGAGTATAGAGCACGAGTGTGTGGATATTTCGCGAGAGAGCACATGTAGCATCGTTACTCCCTATTAAACGCAGAAATGCGCTGCGCGAGAGAACGAGGCGGAGAAATATCAATTCTTGTACTTTGCTTCGAGTAGCTGCACGTACTACGTAACACGCATTAACTACATGGCCGAAATGCCTCTGCTAAATCATCGAATTTCCCTACGCTCCAATGATTTTGTACCGGTCATACTCGCAGTTATGTAGCGCAACTTTACCAAACACACACACATATACACAGCAAATCAAATAATGTAATCTCCTATACCGCGAGCATTAATCTTCTTTAATTTTGACACCGCAGCTACATCCTATGCTCTATAGCTTCTAACCTTTCCCACAACAACCATTAGTTGCTTATTTTTTTCTTCTTCCATTTCGTACTTTAAATCACGATTGCTCTCTTTTTTTTGCACGCGCGCACTGCTTATATTATATTGGAAACAGAGTCAGGCGTGCGCGTTTTGCTTCAATGGCTCGGAGGTTTTCCAAAATTTCTGAAAATTCGGAAGGTGCTCCATCATTTATTGGCGAAAAGCCGAGAGACGAAAAAAGGAGCAGCTTCCTTGGCTTGGATCGTGAGCGTGATTGATGCGCGATTATCTACGCACGTTTTCTTGCTTCTCTCTCTCTTGGTAACAAGAGAACAAGACCCAGTCAGTACGAAAGAGAGAGGACTAGTCTCTTCTTCGGGGAGAGAAAAAAGACGAACAACGACAATAGACGTTATATGCGTCGTTTATTCGCGCTCGAGCGCACGGCAAGAGCCCGTAGCTAATGGAATTTATTAGAATCGCAGCTGCTACTTGAAATAAAAAGAGAGAGAGAGAGAGAGAGAGAGAAAGATTTTTTTTGCTTCTTTGTGCGTGCGCTAGTATTGTTGAAAATCAAGAACACACACTCGAATGCACGAGGGCAGCGGCGGCGGCGGGCAGGCGCAGCTTTTGCACTCACTTTTTGGTTTAATTGACTGGGCATGCTCCGAATGCCTAGTGCGCACTTGGCTACTTGCTCTCTTTCTCTCTCTATGCCCATACTCCATACACATGTCTGAGTGGGTGATCAATCGTTGTTGTTTTGTGCTCGTGCTTTTTTTTCTCTCTTTCTCTTTCGAATGTTCATTCTTATGGCGCACGAATACTCGAATCGCGTAAATGTACACGAGTACGAGAGCTGAGGTTTTGCTGATGCTTGCGTAACGGTTCGGAGCCCGTCTTGACATGAATCCCGTCGCGAAGCTTGACACTTCTAATCATGTTGATTATACATGCGGAATTCGTCAGTTTGGTCGCTAATATGTCAGAACTGACGATTTCCAGAGCGAAAAAATTTCTTCCCGCGCGCTCAATATGCCTACAATAAAGTCCTTAATTTATTATTGGTGTATTCCGCTTAGTCGAGCTACATCATTATCGTTAGTGTCACTGGGCTGACGGGACAAGTTTTTCGCCGCGCGTTTGTTACTTTATTCTTCCGATTTCGATGGCACAAACTCCATTTCGAATTGGAATCGAGCGACGACAACGACGATTCTCGCCCATCTGCGTGCGGGCAATTTTATAGCTTTTCGAGGAAAAATATTCGTGCAATTATTTTTTTCGCATACAGATGTGGCTAAATGAATTATTCTATGGAAAACACATCAATGTCGCTTGCTGTTGCGCGCGCGCACGGGCTTGATCGATCGATCGATTCTCGGCTCGAGGTCGTGGGCAAAAAAAAAAAGAGAGAGAAAGAGAGAGAGAAGGAAAATAAGTATAGCCAATTAAACGTGTGCTTAGCGAAGTGTGCTTGTTATTCAAATGAACTACTTCTTCGAGACTCTTCGTGCTCCTCGATCGTGTATTGGCACAGGCCACCGTGTATCTTTTATTTTCTAATTCATCAAAGGCCGAAGCTCTATAGGTTTTTTTCCCCACCGAATGCGCGTACTCACACACACATACACACACAAGTACACATTTTCAATAATAAAACAAATTCGAGCTTGCGTTTGATCTCTAGCCTCTCGTTGCGCTATTGCGACAGAGAGCGGCGCATTCATTAGTAGTGAATATATGTATAGCATAGACGGTAGCGTGTGCTGGTGGCCGCACGAGCCGTCGTTCACCGCTCCTCGATACTGCCTCCAAAGAAAGTCAAGTACACCTATTGGTACTACATTAGTGCTCATATTATATATATTTGTGATGGCAGTCTCGCATGCGTAGGTCGTAAGGCGCGCACAAAGCGCGAAGCACACAATGATGACTCGGCGGCGGCGCACGGCGGTAGCGATCGAGATTCTTACATATTATGTAGGTACCCCCGGCCTCGAGTGAAGCGTACTCTTGCACGAGGCTTAGGAAAATAATATAATTTGTAGCTCTCAAGCGCAGCGATAATTCGATCCGCTCGGCAGCATCCTCGGGCTGCGCTGCGCGTCGCCGCCGTCGCCGTCTTTGCCAGCTCATTGTGCAAAGTCAGACAATGCCAGTGCGCTTGCTTCACGCTATTTAAAAGTCCCTCTCTCATTCTTCCCATCTTCTTTTTAGATATAAAGGGCACTCTCGTATAATAAGCCCAAAATAGAAAAACGTACGAGGAGAAAAATCGTAAAAGCGCATCCAAGGCTCTCGAATTTCTTCCTTATTTATACACTCGTGGTGTCGCATCGTAGCGCGTCTCTTTTTCTCCCGCGCGGACAGCGCACTCGAGCGTCCAAAAGTTGCCCGTCGCGTACACCTAGTGAGCGCGGTATGCAGCTAAAAGACACGCATAATGAAAATATTTACGCTATACGTAGGCCATAGAGGCAGGCGCATGAATCGTCGCTCGCGCACGCAGCTGGCTTTAAACTGCTGCTGATGCCGCGAGAGGAGGCGGTGCGCGCACGAGGAAAAAATGTAAAACATTTGCATTACGGGCCGTTAGATAAAGCCCCCCGTCCGCTCTTATCTCTCTTCAGCTCGCACTGCTGCATTGTGCGCGCGATACGTTTCTACTACTACTGCTTGTGTAACCCTAGACGGCAAATCGCAAGACGGCCGACAACTCGAGTTTACTTTATATTCGAGAATTTATTGTTACGTATGTCGAGCTTCCCTCGATCTACCGAGCGCCGCTTCTTTTTCGCTTTTTATGCTTTCCTTGTCATCGGCATAAAAGCGGCACTGCCACTGCCACTGGCACGTATTGTATAAAACAAAGTCGTAATATACATCGTACGATATGAAATACGCATCCCGAGGGTATAGCCCTCTCTCTCTCTTTCTCTCGTATAGCTCGAGCTCTCTTGCACAACGTCTTAATGCCCGAAAGCTTCGATACGCGATATGGCAAATAAACTCGATGACTGACGACTCGACTCGTCCCTATACACTCGGACGATTATCGCTCTCGACGCAGCGGCAGCGGCATAATATACAAGCTTACGTACACATGCTCTCGTCCGATGATCGCGAACTATGACCTCTTTTGTCGCGAACATGTTTTCTTTCTCGTGTACGTACTCGTGTACGTTTCATCGTCGGCAGATATTTAACGAAGCTGACGAATGTAATCGTGCGAGCCACCAAGTACAACTCGGAGCTTGCGTATATTACAACGAGTTTTCTTGGAAAAATCAGAGCACGCCTCGGTTGTACGGTATATAGGTGCTTGCTCGTGGCGCGCAATGGAGGCGGCACGCGTGTGGTTAACCATGCCGACGCGCCTTTTTAAAAATAGCAACTCTAAGTCCACCGCGACTTATAACGACTGACTATACACTCGGCACTAATATACGATCGTATAATCATTGTAATTCTCTTCTTTGCGATTCATCATTCGATCCGTTTGAAAAATTGAACTTTAAATTGAATGATAATACGATATGTAACAGTATCTAGATTATAATAGCTCTGCGTATTAATGGGCGTCTTGCGCGTAACGTAAGAAGCTCGCCCTGCATATAATGATGGTAACGGAGAACTATGAAAAAAAAATGCTATAACGAGGACGTTGTCTTGGCTGTTTCAGGGTGTCTGCTGGACGGTGGTGGTGCACCAAGGGGACCGCCCGATGTGCCACCGCGTAACCCGACAATGAGCCGACTGAACGGCCGACTGCCAGGTAGCAACAACACATTGACGTCCGGAGTCACGCAGCAGCAGCACCGACATCACACGTCCTCGGCGGCCAATAACGTCTCGAACTTGGATCGCGATCCCGAGCTCGAGCCGTCCTGCCTCGTGAGGACAGAGTCCGGCAACTTCTACAACATATCCAGTGAGTATACACGATATATTCGGTTGGATTTTTTTGCGCGAGCGGACAATGTAAATTAATCATCTCTTCGCGGCTCATGTATATTATAAACTTGCTCGCGAGCGAAAGTCGCGCTTATGCTTGAGAATATATAATCAACCTGTAGCCCAAGTCGCGAGCTTTGTGAGGAGGATGTTACACCGCCGACAGCGAGAGAGAGAGACAGAGAGAGAAATAACACTTTTTCGAGGCGATAAATCTAAAAATAAAATGATAGATTAATCTCGTGCCTTACGCGCTCACTTATACGTATTATATTGTGCAGTATATATAGCATGCCAAATCAGCGCGCCTCACGCGAGCCTCGCCGCCGCCACCAGCGCCTGCATACCGAGCTGCATTAGAATAAGTTTAAATAACAATCTTCTCTTCCTCCGATTGTGTGTACAATACACAGCTCCTCTCCTGCAGCTTTTAATATGCGTATAAAATTCACCTTCGCATTTACATCCTCCGATTGTGGAAAACACGCCTAGCCGCGTAAAAAAGATCTCTCACTTGCGCAGTATACAACTATGAGGCAAAATGGCGAAAAAGCCGAGCCGCCGTTGCCGCCGACGCGTGAGAAAGCTCGCTTCAACCCTTGATTGTCGCTTCATTCAAACGTCGCTCTCGCGCTGAGGTCCATAAAAATTGCCAGCAGACATTCTTAACGCTTCTCGCCATGCTGCCGTACATAATTTTTCATTATTCAGTCTAGTTTTTGCGCGCGATATCATTTTGCAAATTCGTCATTGAGCCTGCGAGGATCGACCGTCGCACAGCTTGTTTGATAGCATCAACTCGGCGATGATTAATCTTTCTGCGAAGCGAGCCCCGGCGCTCGCGCACGAGCCAAAGTGAAAGCATGCAACAACCAAACGATGACAACTGAGATATGATCCGTGAATCAAGCGGCCAAGTATTTTCATTGAGTCACGAAAATAATTCACGCGTAGTACGCGTAATTTTTTTGCGTTTCGGAGTCGAATAAAGCGATCCTGCAACGCGAGACGCAATCCTAAGTCGGTATAGCTCACTTTGACGTTCATACATTCTTTGTAGCCAATGCGTTTCCCGTGTAAGCTATCGAGGGTTTTCAATGTTTCCTGCCGTTAGGAGCGCCCCTTAATATGTGTTTAAAAATGGCTCGATGCAGTCACTGGCCTTTGCTATAATATAGGAGCGCTGTATACTGCCGCGCATCAAAACGTATTAATAGACATTCGAAAGAAGAAACACACACACGGCTACGCTTCGCACTTATACGAGCAAGCTGGAAAGTATTCCCGATCGCGTACGTTAATTAACTTCTTCGACGCTCAACGTGCGACCCTTCGTTATTAATGTTGCTGCTCCGGCTGAAGCGTAAAATAATTGCCACTTAACTCCATCTGACCTAGCTTGTAACCACACGCACAAAACTTGTGTCTCATTTTTTTCTCTTCTTTTTCTCTCGTCATATTTTCAGTTATCTGATCTTTGACAACTGACAGCTCCTCGTCAGATAACAACATGCATATACGCTTACAATTCGGTGTATATTCAACGTATACATGCTCATTGCTCGTGAGCGCGGCCTCTGCAGCTGATTCCTTTTAACTGATATGTCAATACGTACCCTCCCGCAATCGCCCGTTGGATATTCGGCAGATGCTTAATTATCTTTCCCACTGATACATTGTGACACGAGGCATCAAACGAAATTATGATTTTCTCGATATCGTAAACCTTAGCTTCTCTTAGTCGGTTTGTTTTTCTTCGCGGCAGTGTCGCGTTAGCTCATGCCCGATCCTCCGCGTGCTCGCTACACAACGCACACCGTTAAACGTGGGAATCTCAACAAGTGATTTTTTTACTTTCATACGGTTTGATCACAATGTGGCAATGGAGGGAAAAAACAGCAAACTCCGTGTAGGATCGAACAAACGGAATCTTTACAGAAAAAACAAACACAAGAGGCTCATCTCTTATCGAGTAGACCGCCGCCGTGTGTATACAGAAATAATATACCGAAATCTCAGAGTCAAAGGGAGGGAGAAGAAGAGAAAGAGATAGAGGCTGGTCTTGACCAAGGTGCGCGCAAAGTCAATACACTAGTGAAAATCCAAGAAAAGAATAGCAGTAGCCAATAAGTCCTGACTTTTGCGTAAAACCGCGTACGTGCCTCCCTTCATTTTGGTCCCCGCGTGCGGATCTCATCTCTCTTATCTTTTTTTCTCGACGATAAGCTTTCTTTTGCGGTCGAATCTTGGATTTTCTTTGCCACAGCTGTCTCAGACTATATGATTAATCTCATTGAGCCGGGAAACAGCACTTGTGCTTCGATGGTATTGTCATACGATATATATATCGTAAAATGACATGGAAACTTTATTAGAGTTATAGCATGTTTTAGTTTCAGGAGCCTCGCACTAGCGTAAAAAAATATTTTTATACTTTGCTTAATTGATATTATATTTGGACTAGAGCCGGTGAAATGATTAAAAGCTGTAGGCACTTTTTTCACGGTCGATTTTCTCTTCTCCAACAAAACATAGAGCGAAGCACAAGTATCGGCTCTCCCGTTCGATCTTAACGAACAAAACTACTGAAACCGTAAATTTCAGGGCGCGCACACCAGTTGTAAGAATAACAAATGTTGCGTTTGTACAGGTACAATGAGAAATTTATCGAAGCCAAGGCACGAGGCGAGTCAACTTTTATCATTCGGAGTGTAGCTGTATACGTAGGTATATATATCGCGCGGCTCGATAGCCAAGGGGATGCATAAAATAACGATTCGCTGGAGCCGGAGCTGCATGAGATAAATTTAATAAGTCTTATAGAGTAACATTACAGGACGTAGTTCGTCGACTATTACGTTAACACCAATGGAGAGAGAGAGAGAGAGAGAAGCTCGCGAGGTGTCTATTGTTTATTACCGATCCCGAGTAAAATTAGAATAGGTATTCATCTCCCGGGCGGCCGGGCCAATTATCATAAATACCTGCCTCTCGCATGCACGCGCGCCTATATCTGCGAGCTAAACGGATTACCGGCCAGTGAGTTAGATAAACACGTATTATAAATATGTGCGCGCGAATCCGCACTCGAGTCTCTCGTCGAAGCATTCGAAGAAACCCATAAACTTTCTTTTCCGTAGCCCCTTCCCATGTCGAATTCGTATATATACATACAGGCACATAAGATGTATGCGTATAGGAGCTCGGCCAGTCTCTCTCGCGGCAACAAAAGCTAAAAGGCGACTCGTTGCGCATTGTATAATGCGCGCATTCGAATGCGTGCGTGCGTTTCTACGGCTCGCATGCGAGGCCAAACCAAAGGAGCAAATAAAACAAAAATGAGCCCGTAGCCAGGAACGCGTGCGAGGGAGGACAGATTTATGCACGTGCGACCGCGGCGATATAAGCCGCTGCGAATGTGCGCCCGAGTAGCGACTCGTCAGAGTATATACTACTCGGCCGCAGCTCGACGTGCCTCGCTACATATCCTACGTATAAAATCCTCGAGTCTTGGCCACGAGTACTTGTCCTGCTGATGCTATATAGATATAGGATACGCTGCAGGCAAAGGTCGAAGCGATCGCGGCGGTAGTCGCGTCGTGGATCGAGTCTTTAGTGCTCGGGATGACTCGGGCGGCCCATAAGCGCGATAATCGATTCTCGGCACTGGCCGAGCTGCTACATCGTGATGATTCGGTGCAGGGAGGCCGCGTGCTTGTCTCCCTAAACGACTCTATAGGTATATATATATATATAAAGGCGCGCACTGCATTGACCCATGATGCGCGAGAACATAATCGACATACCGATCGAACGAGAGCGAGGGACGTTCGTATGTGCGCCCAGTGTATAAGAAGAGAGAGAGAGAGATCCATCCGAGCCCTAGGCTCGCTCGCTTATACTCGCTGCATTATGTGGCTGCGCGCGGATAGTCCGAAACCTTCAATTAACGCCCGTGCCCCGAGCGACGAGCAGCTTATAACGTGTGTGCACACACGTATATGGCACAAATACACACACATATGAGCACTGCACACATGGACAGAACGTACTGACTTCCCACGCCCTCGTCCGAGCATTCGAATATAGCAGGCACCGCTCCGAGGTTAATTCGCATTGGCCGACAGAATTACTCTTTCTTTCTTTCTCCTTCTTTCATTTGGCGCGAGCTCGAGTCTCTTGCGTGCATATGTGTGTGTGTGTGTGTATATGTGTGTACTGCGGGCACGTATACATGTATACTACTACACGTATTTTGCATAGTGTACCGTCCATGTCCGCGTCCATTCGTTTTCCCGAAGACGCGACGCAGCGGCCGCGAGTGCATATAATGAACTTAAAGTCCGCTGCTGACTCGCTCGCTTACTTCACGTGTGTGTACATAAGCGCACATGCTTGTTTATATATTCATAATATATCTGCCGTACATCTTAGAGAAACGCGAGCTCTCTTTGAGTTATTCATGCGGGCCTCTCGGAGACCGAGCGCCGAGTGCGGCTGCGTGTGTATCGGACGACACCAGTCAGTTGCACGCGCGCCGTTTCGAGCTAAGAAAAAACAAAAAAGGCTTGTGCAACTGCGCCGAGCAAACGGAGAATTTAGAATTTTCGAAACTGTACCGCGCGATGGTGCTAATTTTTGGCCGAGGCAAAAAAGGAGCGCACGCGCGTATTCTTGTTTGCCGTAGGAATTCTCGATACTGGACACGAGAGTAATACGAGCGAGATAATTGCAGCAGCTGGGCCGTTACGCAAGACGGTTCGAGCCAATATTTGCTTTAATAATTTGTACATGTCGTGCAAGCGGCAAAAAGTCTGTCGAGGAAGAAGGAAGCTCCCGCGCCGACTGCACGAACGCGTTACTCGATTGGAGAAATCGCAGATACGGTCTACTATCGATCATTTGGCGCATACGAGTGGATTAAAGAGAGAAAAGGCGACGCAAAGTACAAGAAATACTCGAATCAGCTCGCAGATATTGCACAATTTTCAACGTCATATAGCAACGTATCCGCCTACGCGCGTATACCAAACTTTCGGAGCTCATATTCGCTAATGATTTTTCCATCGTAAACTCGTAATCCACAGCCTAACATTCGTACACAATAAACACAGATATATTCATGTATCGCGTTTCAGTGAAATTTTTACAAGCGTCATCGCCATAGCTCACTCACTATGCTGCACATGATGCAGTGTACAGAACAATGAGCCACGCAGACTCACACACGTGGGAGATACACATATTGTATTGCTGGCAACGATGAAAGGTCGTGTTATATCGCGCGCAGCGTGCATTACACGCACTGCCTGTGTGTCTGTGTATGTGTACTCGGCACTGCAGCGGACTGCGCGCGATGTGCAGTTTGAAAGCCCCCCGCGGCAGATTGATTACTGACTTTGCGTTAATTTCACGGGAAATCACTCGCTGTGCCTCGCGCGCGCACACAGTCCATGGCATGCAGCCGTACCTTATACATGCTGTATGCACCTCCCCTGGATATTAAAATAATATCTTCATTGGAGCAATTAAAAAAACGACGGCGCGTAAAAGTAAGCTCGTGACGAGCGTCGAGCGTTGCCACTCGTATCGTAGCGATATATAAACATTGAACCCGAGAGAGCTGGTCCACGAGGCAGAGTATTTATTATAACGGCTCTGCAGGATATACGTGATTTTTATTTTGCAGGAAAAAGTATTGGTCGCTTGCGTACATATACATGTATAGGAATGCCACGAGCGCTCGGCTCGAACAATGCGTTTGTATCCGCGCGCATGCATGGCCTCGTCGTCCTCGTCCTCGTCCAAGGCGTGAAGTAAAACTTTGGCGCAATATAATAACAGTCGTGCGCGTGTGGCACGCTCTTACCGTTACATTAGCCCCTATAAAGGATGCGAGAGCATTATAAGGATAAATCCAAGCTCTCTCTCGCTCTCGAGCGTACGTGCATTATTGTAAATCAAACAATGATCGAAAATACCTGCGCGACGATGCATCGTTGTGCGTATACATACGCGATTAACTTGCGTGTTCGGCACACCTTTTCATGTCTACATTTTACGCGCGGAGACTTCGCCAAGAGCTGCATGTATAACGCGTGCGACGAACGAGGGAAAATTCCCGCCTCCTCGAGCCGGAAAATAAAAAAAAAATTGCGTCGTGCGTCGAGGAATGGATGCGCGCGTGTGCACCTACGTGCATCTATCGTATACACTATACATACACTGCACGGGGTGGTCTTGAATGAGAGTTAGACTGCGAGTTTGCTACCGCGCAGCAGCGGCAGCCACATATACGCTGGTTTAATACCAACACATCGCTATACTCGCCACGTTCCTTTTCGCCTCGGCATTTCCTTATGGCTTTTCGCGCTTGCTTTGCCTTGTTATTAGCGTACATAGCAGCTCTCTCGCTCGCGCGTAATGTTTGCTTCGCCGCGTGCTATACGTGTGATTTCTTAATAGATCTCGCGCGCCACCGCATAGCTCCGGCAGAGACTCACAAACATACTACTATGTATATAAGATAGTAGCTATAGTGCAACTATACATACATACAAGTTACGCCGCTGCTCGTGGAAAAAGTCATCGGAGCATAGAGAAAAAAGGGCTGGGCCGCGCGCAGCGGACGCGCAACGAGCGTGCGCTTAATATGCCCCTTTTAAGCCCGTGCATATATATACCTGCGCGCACAAGGAATTACCGAGAGAGGGCATAATAATTTTTAACGCAGCGACTGCCCCGGCTCCGCCCCTCGAACTGCGCGCTCTCTCTGCAAGTGGGGCAAACTGCGCGCGAGCTTCTGCTCGAACTGCTCAAAATTTCGATGAATTTTTGCCGACTCGTAAAATTTGCCAAATGCTCTTTCGAGATCGCCACCGATCCACGTTGCTTTATGGACCTATCGAAGCTCCGCTCAAGGTCGAAGTAGCAGCGATTAAATGCCCTCCTTTCGCGAGAAGAAGCCGCCGAGTTAATCGAAAAATTAAAAGGAAAAATAATTGCATTACGGTGTTGTATTACTTACTTCTTGCTTCTCTCATTCAACAATTCAGGTCAATTACTGTCCTGCGAGAAACGACATCTTCATTTTAAATTATTGACAAAGAGAATCCTTATATTATGATAAATCGCCTCTACACATTAAAATTATAACTCATTAATAATTCGAATGCCCTTTTTCTGTTACAGAGAAACCGAAGAATGATTACAACAACAAGAATCAATCGACGGGAAACAGTCCAATAAAAGTCGAGTTACAAAACAACATGGACAGGTAGGCAAAAACAACACTATCTTTCTATCCACGAGACAAATTTCAAATTTATATGCGCGCTATTAAGCCGTGGTGTTGAGCTAATGAATTTCGAGACAACGGGACTCGGAATTAATTTTTGGCCGAGTATCGCGCGACACTTGCTCCGACTTGTGCTTTCATTTCTGACCGAGCAACGATTTATATTTGCAATAATAGTCGATGACATTCGAAGAAATTTATTTTTTTTCTTCTTTTTACACACAAACATTGGGCAAATTGACTTTTGTGCAGCGCTCGCCAAGTTAAACAGAGGGTCTGACGAAAAAAATATCGTGTGAAAAAGTCTGAAACTCGTCTATCTCACGAGCACACACAAAGGACTCGGGTCGTGAAAAGACGGAGAAAAAAAAATCAACCATACACGCTTGGACATTTCTTCGCGGTGTGCGCACGCACACACCTACACACGAATCGAATCGAGAGAAAAAAATGTTACCGACTTCTTGCTTCTCGAATCATTTAATTATCGCGACAAGTTTGTTGAAAAAAAGTCGATTTCGGTACCGTGCACGCTATTTTCATTTCTTTCGTCGACGTTAATTTTCGATTCGCCGTTGCTGCATTGCGTAATCGTTGATTCAAAAGATTTACACACAGGCAGCTATATAGGCCCCTCCGATCGTAATTCCCGAACGCGGTCCAGTCGCTATAGCCGAGCGGCACACACGCGTTATTAGATAATCAGGATAATTTATTCATGATTGGCTCTAATGATCGAGTTAAGCCGTCACAATAGCACGGGCCGTTGGACTCGAGTCGCACTAATCGTTTCATCGCTCGCGCGGCGATGATGATTTCTCGTCCCTCCTCCTTCTCCTGCTCCTCTCGAAAGCGGACACAATTTCGCGCGTAAACGATTCGATGCAAATAAACATTAAATGGTCCTCGTGCGCGCTCGCTCACGTTGATGATGCGCACATATACCTATAGGCATATACCGTAGGTATAAAAGTATACGGTGCGCGCGAAAGTGAAGTGCAGTAGCAAGTTGACTTAATGCCATAATTTTGTCGAAAAGATGGAAAATAAAAGTACATTAAACACGGGTGTGCATAATAATGCGTGTGCGGCTACCGGCATTGGTTTGAGCGCGAAAACGGAGCAAAAAAACCTTAGACGCTAGTATAGATACATGTGTGCGCTATACTCGAGTCGCCCGAGAGTCGAGGACCCTTGGCTCTGCACACAGCCTACAGCGCGCGTATACACATGAACGTATAAAAATTAATCACAATCGAGCACGCAACAGCACACACACACACACACACACACACACACACACACACACACACACACACACTCACATACTCAGATACTCGCTGTTATATGTATACAAGGACTCGCATGAGAATTTTGCCGACCAAAAGGAAAGAAGGAGAAGAAGCAGAGAAGACAGAGACCACCTCGAAGGCCCCGCAGCTTCGACTCTACTTCTCTCTGCTTCTCTCTTCTTTCTCTCTCTCTCTCCCTCATTTCTCTGCACTACTTATACACATAAACAACGTATATACATGCGCGCGCGCTTGCGGGAAAAAATTATCTATATAGCTGCATAGCTGACTCGTGTGCAGCGCTCTCGGGATTACGTTCAACGCCGCGCTTTGTTGTCTCGCTGTAAAAATTGTCTCCGGACGTCGAATTAATGCTCAGTCATGTTGTTGTTGACAGGGTACCACTGCCATACGGTCACGCGTCGTCGATGATCCCGATGAGGCGGCAATCGATAAGATGTCACTTTCGCAAGGGCATCGACTGGTGCAGCTGGAAGCTCATCGCCATCATCGTCATCGCGATCGCCACGTGCCTGGCGGCCGCCCTGGCCTACATGGCCGCGTCCTCAAGCATGGTTGGCTGGTACCAGGACACCAAGGCCTGCACAGTGCTGGTAGGCGAGGACAGCGGCGGCGGCGGCGGTGGCGACCTGGCCAAGGCCAGTCTCGACGCGCTAGAGAAGAATTCGACGCAGTCGACGCCGACGTCGGGCGCCGGTACAGCGATTAGTACCAAAGCCGACGCCAAGCGGCCACAGACCAGCAGCGCTACTGGAGGTAAATTCATTGATGATGATGTTCGTCGGGTGAAGCGTCAAGCGGCTCTTGACGCTTTTCATTTGGTGTTGGGTAGTGCCACTAGCGACGGTGTGATGCATGATTACTCTCCTCTTCCTACTTCTTTTACTACTATTACCACTAGCGCTACTACTTTTGATACTACTCCCGCCACTGACGCGGTAACTGAGCTCGTAGATGAAAACACGACGTACTTTGATATTAACATTAACTTCAACGATGATCTCGATAACGCGACAATCTCGGCGAACGATACGATGGACGAGATGTTTGACGAAGGTAGTGGCTTTGACGACGAACTCGATGCTCCTACTAGTACTGTAAATTACGATACTACCGAGACGACTGATGTATACGAGACGACCACACTCGAAAACGAGAGTACCGAGAGCACGACTTACGAGTCGACTTTTTCGGATCTCATCGAGCAAACGGATAATTGCTCCGATTCTACCACGCCCCTGGAAAATTTCGACTATACCGATGTAGAGACTAGCACCAGCGATGAAATGCTAACTACGGTGCCGTACAATACAAGATTCGATAAAATGGATTCGGAAGCGACTGTCGTTCCCGATGTTGCTAATCCTGACGATGTCTCGAATACAATTATTCCCGAGGTCATTTTGGTCAGAAAGCCAGAGAGCTATAAAAATCCTACGATCGATGAGGAACAACTGCAAGGCGATCACCCGGGCCCGGTGACAATAGATCGCCCTCCGGATGACTCGGGCCTAATCGAATTCGGTACAGATAGCCCCAACAAGCTGGACGATTACGACCCCAAAGGAAAAACCGAGCAAGAACTCTTACGTCTTATGCAGAAACCGGATAAGCGCGAATTTTACCAGAAGTTCGAGGAGCAATTTCGTAAAAAGACAGCTGAACCCGTTGACGAACAACAGTCAACGAATGAATTGCGTTCAGCCGAAGCCTCATCCACCCCCGCACAACCGAATATCGAACAACGCAGTGACAATCTGACTGTCAACGTTGCCATAACATCCAACGACACTAGCTCGGCTCATACCTTGACCGTACAAGTTCCCATCCTATCGGCGATCTCCCAGATCAACGTCAACGTTCCTTCGGAGTTACTACAGGACAAGCGAGATACCTCGTCGTCAACGTCGAGCAGCATCGAGGAGGCGTTGGCGAGAATTCGAGAATCGTTGAACAGCATCGAGCAGCAGCTGGCCACTAATGCCATCGAGCGCAACAATAAAGAATTGCTCCAAGACGACGCTTCGAGAGTCGTTGAATTTGTCGACATTGGCAATAACGACGTCGACAACAGCGTGGACGACGACCAAAAGAACAATGACATAAAGGCGCCGTTGCCGACCGCTACGACTTTGACCGCTACGCAATCATGGTTCGGCGGTGAATGCGAGTGCTCGTGTCCCTGCCTGGGCAGCTTCGACCTGGACTGGGATATTTTTGCCGCCAACACCAGTAGCAGCGACTACGATAACACTACGCCCGCGAACGCGACATCGGTGACTGAGGCTGCTACTGGTGTGACGACTGCTGCTCCGATTTCGTTCGACAGCAGCAGCAGCAGCACGTTCGAAGACGATGAATCGACTACCACCGATGTGCCATCGATCAGCGTTACGAATGATGACTATGTGACAGAGTCGACGCCCACCAAGTGCGGACAGCAACCAGAACCGATAATATTGTTATTAGAAAGCAAGTATTTTAAAGATCAACCGGCCCGCATTTCTTGAGGCCGATGAAGAAATTTTTGCCACTTTTTCGCCCGCCGCAACATGTCCATCACACGAGTGTATATATTACATACAGAAAAAAAGTCATCATCGTTTCTTTCAACTATTTTATTAACAAGTCTTACTTTATACAACTAACCGTCTTATTCGCAGAAGATGCCACTAAAAATCAAAATTTACTAAATGACAAGTGTGACAAGCGCGCGTGTTTACCAGTATCGAGCGGATGTTTTCGATTGAATCTGCTGCTGCCTCTGCTTCTGCTTAAAATCGCTGTACATATACCATGCTCTTTTACTGCTTTGGCTTGCTAACAATATACATGTGTTCATTGTACTGTGTAAATCAAAGAAAAAACGAGCGATCTACATTATAATGTACGAACGTGATGAACCCATTTAAAATCGCGACACTCGTCGCTTCGATCGAGCTCTCGATTCCATTTGTGTGACTCACTCGACACAAAATCACTTAATCTTTTTCGCTCGATGACATGCTCATAATAATGTCTCGCGAAATTTTCTTCGATCCAGAAGCCATTTCCATGATAATATTGATCGCTTACTTAATAACAGTGTATATATTTTACATATTTCTCATACTCTGCCAATCTGTAGATTCGGCAGTACGCCAATAAAGCTTCATTTTTATTAGCTTCTTTATGGCGAACTCGTATAGCGCATATTTACATGACTCAGACTAACTTTTGGTACTTGCTTTTGGCAAACAGGCGGCAGAACAGTCCCTGCGCGATCGTTTCCACCGGACGGAACGACCTTCGCCCAGGTCAGCCTCGGCCAGCCCCTGTCCAAGGAGATACCGGCCTACAGCTACTGGAACATGCAATTCTACCAGTCGGAGCCCGCGTACGTGCGCTTCGACTACAGCATACCCCGAGGGGCGAGCATCGGCGTCTACGCTCGACGCAACGCTCTGCCGACCCACACCCAGTACGACTTGCTCGAGGTCATGAGCGGCTTCAAAGCCAGAACAACCAGGGCTTCGCACGTGAGTTTTTTTTCATTATATACATCGAATTAGGAGTAGCAGTAGCTATAAGCGTCGCTTTTTGTTATTGCAGCAACCGTCGATCAAGAAGGAGGTGACGCACTACATGGAGCCCGGCCACTGGTTCCTGTCGCTCTACAACGACGACGGCGACCCGCAAGAGGTGAGCTTCGTCGCCGTGATCGCCGAGGACATGACGCACAACTGCCCGAACGGCTGCAGCGGCAAAGGCGAGTGCCTGCTCGGCCACTGCCAGTGCAATCCGGGCTTTGGCGGCGAGGACTGCAGCGAGAGCGTCTGCCCGGTGCTCTGCAGCCAGAACGGCGAGTACATCAACGGCGAGTGCCAGTGCAACCCCGGCTGGAAGGGCAAGGAGTGCTCGCTGCGCCACGACGAGTGCGAGGTGCCCGACTGCAACGGCCACGGCCACTGCACCAACGGCAAGTGCAGCTGCGTCCGCGGCTACAAGGGCAAGTTCTGCGAGGAGATCGACTGCCCGCACCCGTCCTGCTCGAGCCACGGCTTCTGCGCCGAGGGCACCTGCATCTGCAAGAAGGGCTGGAAGGGCGCCGACTGCAGCCAGATGGACAAGGAGGCCCTGCAGTGCCTGCCCGACTGTAGCAAGCACGGCACCTTCGACCTCGAGACCCAGTCCTGCCTCTGCGAGCCCATGTGGTCCGGCGACGACTGCTCCAAGGAGCTCTGCGACCTCGACTGCGGCGCGCACGGCCACTGCGTCGACAACGCCTGCGACTGCATGCCCGGCTGGTCCGGCGAGCTGTGCAACCTCAAGCAGTGCGACCCGCGCTGCAACGAGCACGGCCAGTGCAAGAACGGCACCTGCCTCTGCGTCACCGGCTGGAACGGCCGACACTGCACCATGGAGGGCTGCCCCAACTCTTGCTCCGGTCACGGACAGTGCAAGGTCAATACCGACGGCCAGTGGGAGTGCAAGTGCTACGACGGCTGGAACGGCAAGGACTGCAGCGTTCACCTCGAGCAAAACTGCAACGACGGACGCGACAACGACAAAGGTTCGTAGGAATTTTCACCCTTTCGCTAAATTAGTCTCTCTCTTTCTATAATTTTAAATAGCACTAATAACACGGTGACTCGATTTGCTTTATAGATGGTCTCGTCGATTGCGCCGATCCCGAGTGCTGTTCGAGCAGCGTGTGCCGCAGCAGCCAGTTATGCGTCTCGGCTCCCAAGCCCATTGACATTCTGTTGAGAAAGCAACCACCCGCGATCACGGCTTCGTTCTTCGAGAGAATGAAGTTCCTGATAGACGACGGAAGTCTGCAGAATTATGCGCGTCAAGAAACTTTCAACGAAAGGTACGTTTGCTTTATACCATTTGCCACTCCAAAATCGATCCACCAGTCCTAATTCTATAAATTCAATAACTATATATTATGTCACAATTATTCTATTTACGTCGTCTATGAATAATTCAACTCATAATGATTGAACGCGAGAATGAGCGATGAAACTGTTGTATCACTAGTACATTTCTCCATTTGCTGAACTAAAATACAGAATTCAATTATTATAACTATTGTACGCTGTAAGGACAATAAGATATATACAATTTAGATATTTTATCTACAAATATAATGTCTGCGTTGTTGTGACCCGTGTTACTTATCACATCCCAGCAGTTTTCAACATGTTCTGTATAAGTATACTTGTCTATATACGCGAATGTCTAGCCTGCACTATACAACCTCTTCTCCTATCATCATAGTCCAAACTTTTTGTTTTAACCTATACCATTTCTCATTATTGTCTCGTTTATCCATGTTGGATTTTTTCCTTTCATCAGAATTTCCAAAAACAATTTTGTTAACAAAGTATCAAACAAAAAAAATAATTTTTTTCATACACTCATAGTCCACTTATAAAGTAATCATTTTCATTTTTACTGTTATTTGTATTCATCTCTTTTTGACTCTGATTATCATATCAACTATCCTAAAAACCAAACAAAAATTCACACATTTTAACTGGGCTCTGTTTTGTCTGTGCTGCTCGATCAGTGTGTTCTGGAATCACTTCAACACAAGGTAAGAACCATAAGAAGAAAAAAAATTGAACAGATTGATTTTGAAAAGAGCACAGCCTGTTTATCCCTTGTTTGTGTTATTCGACAAGTTTGATGTTGAATCTTTTTAACTTTATTTCGTTGTGTTTTTATAAAACAGTGTATCAGACCATTTCAGTTTATATTATGTACAAGCTTTTGCGTTCCTTCACATTATTTGTTTATTATAATTTCAAAAAAAAACGTAGTTTGTGCTGATATGATTTTTATCAAGCCAGCTTCCGTTATGTCTCACAAACTTTTCTACACTTTTATGTATATCTATTGTAATGTAATAAGTGTCGTTTCAGTTCTGCATTTGTGTTGTTGATTTCCCGCATATGTGAAAAAAATTCCATCACTATTTGTGCACTGTATTGTTCTTGATCGTTTGAAGGATTTTTCCATGCAATCTTTTAAACGATTTGGCTGTCTTTGTACTTTTATCACTTTTATGAAACATTGAAGTGTTGTTTTTTTTTAACTACTCGCAAATAACTATACTATCGTTCCGAAATTGTTAAACGTTTTTGTTATTGTTGCATGTTTGAGTTATCCTTATGTTCTCCTAAAATTGTGTTTCGTGAAAATTTCGTTATGCTTCGAAGACAACGACACAATTGTACTGATCTAAATTTTGTCAATTCCATTATACATTGTACGGACTGACTTGACGAGTTCAATCTCTTAAACTGTATGAAACAGATTTTTTAGGATTCGATCGTTGCAAAACGGGCTTTATTACAATAACACGAAATATCCTGATGATTTTTCCGCATGCAATTCATACGATTATATGCAATTTTCTTTTTACAAGAATAAAAGCTCAAGATACAGGTAGACGATATGGAGAAGTTAAAAACATATCTGCCAACAAATTTCTGGTGAAAAAAAGATAATTAGTATTACGGTTCTACTGTCAAAAATTATTGAAAATCGAAAAATCCGATAGCCTACAAGTATCTTAGCAAAAGGAAATATTTTTTATTTTTAAGTAGCTCATACTCACATTAATTAGTTTTTATTTAGCTATGCCAGGAGTAATTTATATATACACTGAGTAGTACATTCATTATTAAAAAACGAATGGAACAAGTAATGTAAAACCAAATATTTACTTCCACAGTCGCTCGGCCGTAGTCAGAGGCCGCGTAGTTACCTCCCTTGGTATGGGTTTGATGGGCGTGAGAGTCAGTACGAGCACACCTCAGGAAGGTTTCACCCTGACTCGCGACGACGGCTGGTTCGATCTACTTGTTAACGGCGGCGGTGCGGTCACTCTTCAATTTGGACGCTCCCCCTTTAAGCCACAGAGTCACATTGTTTACGTTCCTTGGAACGAGGTGAGTGGAGCTAATTTCCATCTTTTTCTTCGACAGTTGCATTCATTGTGTTTAAAAATATTTTCTTATCATTATCGCAGGTGGTCATAATCAATAAAATCGTCATGAGCACGGCCGACGAGAAAACGCCGACTCACGTGATCCACTCGTGCGCAGCCCACGACTACGACGTGATGAAACCAGTGGTTCTGGCTACCTGGAAACATGGCTTCCAGGGCGCTTGTCCCGACAAAAGTGCCATTCTAGCGGAATCTCAAGTTGTACAGGAGTCCATTCAGATTCCAGGCACTGGTTTAAACCTCGTTTACCATAGCTCGCGAGCAGCTGGATACCTGTCGACCATACAACTTCAACTCACCCCGGAAACCATACCACCGACTTTGAACCTCATCCATCTGCGTATTACCATCGAGGGCATATTGTTTGAAAAAACCTTCGAAGCCGATCCAGTTATCAAATTCACGTACGCCTGGAACAGGCTCAATGTCTATCGTCAACGAGTCTACGGCGTAACCACTGCCATGGTGAAGGTCGGCTACGAGTACAGCGACTGCAAGGACGTCATTTGGGACGTGCAAACCACCAAACTGAGCGGTCACGACATGTCCATCTCCGAAGTCGGTGGTTGGAACTTGGATATTCATCACAGATACAATTTCCACGAAGGCATTTTGCAAAAAGGTGACGGTTCGAACATCTATTTGAAGCATAAACCACGTGTAATTCTAACAACCATGGGTGATGGTCATCAACGACCTTTGGAGTGCTACGATTGCGATGGACAGGCTTCGAAGCAGCGTCTACTCGCACCAGTCGCTCTTGCCACGGCCTCTGATGGCTCCATTTTCGTCGGTGATTTTAATCTTGTTAGGAAGATTCTCGTCGATGGCACTGTCAGAACTGTCGTTAGGCTGAACGCAACAAGGGTGTCTTATCGCTATCACATAGCACTGAGCCCACTCGACGGTTCTCTCTACATCAGTGATCCCGAGTCGCATCAGATTATTCGTGTTCGAAATACCACAGACTACTCGGATCCCGAGCACAATTGGGAAACAGTCGTCGGTTCTGGCGAACGCTGCCTTCCAGGTGATGAGGCTCATTGCGGTGACGGTGCCCTCGCTCGTGATGCGAAATTGGCTTATCCCAAAGGTGTGGCTATCTCAGCTGACAACGTTCTCTACTTCGCCGATGGTACCAATATCCGAATGGTTGACAGAGACGGTATTATAACCACTATTATTGGTAATCACATGCATAAGAGCCACTGGAAACCGATACCATGCGAAGGCACGCTCAATGTGGAAGAAGTTCATCTGCGATGGCCAACCGAACTAGGTAAAATATTTCCCTCAATGACTGTTATTGTAATATATTTTAAAGCATAAACTTACTTATCGAATTTTTTCATAGCTATCAATCCTCTGGACAATTCATTGCACATCATCGATGACCATATGGTTCTTCAACTTGCACCTGATGGTCGCGTCAAGGTAGTAGCAGGCCGTCCACTGCATTGCGCATCACCGTCCACAACTTTCGACTCAGAACTCGCTACCCACGCGACCCTCGTGATGCCACAAAGTTTAGCATTTGGACCGTCGGGCGACCTTTACATTGCCGAGAGCGATTCGCAGCGCATCAATCGCGTCCGAGTGATTGGTACAGATGGAAAAATATCCGCCTACGCGGGGGCTGAATCCAAATGCAACTGCCTCGAGCGTGGCTGTGACTGCTTCGAAGCCGACCATTACTTGGCCTCGACTTCGAAATTCAATACCATCTCTGCTGTATCTGTCAGTCCGGACGGTGTCGTACACATTGGCGATCAGGCCAACTATCGCATTCGTTCTGTCATGGCTAGTATTCCAGACGCCAGCGGTGCTCGAGAATACGAGATCTATTCGCCCGACACTCAAGAGATTTATGTGTTCAATCGTTTTGGTCAGCACATTGCAACGAAAAACATTCTCACTGGTGAAACAATCTATTCGTTCGCCTACAACGTCAACACAAGTAACGGAAAATTGAGCACGGTCACCGATGCCGCTGGCAACAAGGTCTTCCTCTTGCGTGATTATAGTGCCCAGGTCAATTCCATCGAAAACACCAAAGGCCAAAAATGCCGCTTGCGAATGACGCGTATGAAACTTTTGCACGAGCTCAGTACGCCAGACAATTACAACGTGACCTTCGAGTATCACGAGCCTACGGGTCTGCTGAAAACCAAGTTAGACTCGACTGGAAGGAGCTACGTCTACAATTACGACGAGTTCGGCAGGTTGACTAGCGCAGTAACACCAACCGGCAAAGTCATCGGACTGACTTTCGATTTAAGTTTAAAGGGTGCTCAAGTCAAGGTAGTCCAAAATAATCGCAAACCAGTCTCGATGTTGATCAAAGGATCGTCCGTGGTCACGAAAATCAGTGAGGCTGAGCAACGCACCACGGTTTTGCCCGACGGTAGCGTTGGCAGATTGACGCCTTGGTCGCATGCTGTTAGCACCGACACGATGCCCTACTCCATCTTGGCTGAAATCGAGCCACTGCTCGGCGAAAGTTATCCAGTACCTGCCAAGCAGCGCACCGAGATAGCTGGTGATCTTGCCAATAGGTTCGAATGGCGCTACTTCCTGCGCAAAGTACCTGCCAAAAATCGTGCTGCCAATAACAAAGCCATCGCTCAAGTCGGCAGAAAGTTAAGAGTGAACGGCGATGTGCTTCTGTCCCTTGAGTACGATCGAGACAGTAACACCGTGGCCGTTTTCAAAGACGACAGAGTCGAACTACTGAATGTGACCTACGATAAAACAGCAAGGCCTATCAAATGGGGACCACGTGACGGTATATTCGCGGGTGTCGAGCTCGAGTACGACAGGTTTAGCCGTTTGGTCAACTGGCAGTGGGGTGACATGAGCGAGACGTACGGTTTTGATCAAGCCGGTCGTCTCTTTGAGATCAAGTACAGTGATGGCACCTCGATGGTCTATGCGTTCAAGGATATGTTCAGCAGTTTACCTCTGAAAGTAACTACCCCACGTGGAAGTGACTACTTCTTGCAGTACGACGAAGCTGGTGCGCTACAATCGTTGACCACGCCTAGAGGACACATCCACGCCTTCTCGCTCCAAACATCTTTGGGCTTCTACAAGTACCAGTACTACTCGCCGATGAATCGCCATCCATATGAGATTCTCTACAACGATGATGGACAAATATTAGCCAAAGTCTATCCTCACCAGAGTGGCAAAGTAGCCTATGTCTACGACCATAATGGCAAACTGGAAACAGTTTTGGCTGGTCAATCGTCCACTCGTTACACTTATCAAGAAACTACTGCACTGGTACGAAGTATCGACATCAACGAGCCCAACTTCGAGATGAGAGTGGAATACAAATATCACGCTGGAATAGTCAAGGACGAGAAGATCAAATACGACAGCAAGATCGGCTTCAACAACGCTCACTTCCGCTACCAGTACGACGGTAACGCACGAATTTCCGGAATCGATGTTGACATCAATGGCAAACAACTGCAAACCTTGAGAATGAAATACGATCAAAATCTCGGAGTGCTCGAAGGTGTCAATGATCTGCGCATTTACAGAAATTCTTTCAATCGTTCGGTCATGCAGGACTCGAGCAAACAGTACTTCACCGTCAGCGATTACGATGAACACGGCAGAGTGAAGACCATCCTAATGAACATCAGAACGATGGACGTCTTCAGAATGGAACTTGAGTACGATAATAGAAACAGAATCAAGATGCGCAGAATCATGATCGGCAAAGAGTCGGTCGATAAAAAGGAATGGACTCGCGTCGACAAGATCACGTACAACGCCGACGGTCACGTGCTCGAAGTGGCCGAGCGAGACATCTCTTGGCAGTATGCCTACGACGAGAACGGTAACGTGATCGGAGTGACCGAGAGATCCGAGAAAATCAGTCTTGGTTACGACAGCGGCGATCGAGTCGTGCAGTACGGTGACGTGGAATTCAACTCGTACGATCAACGTGGATTCGTCGTGATACGCGGAGAGCATCGCTATCGATACAACTCGCGCGGCCAACTCATTCACGCCGCTCAGCACAAGCACTTCCAGATCTGGTATTACTACGACGACAGGGGTCGCTTGGTCGCCTGGAACGACGATCGCGACAACGTCACCCAATTCTTCTACGCCAACCCCAAAACGCCGGATCTAGTGACACATCTGCATTTCCCCAAGACCCAACGTACCTTCAGATTCCTCTACGATTCTCGCGACCACCTCATGGCCGTCGAGACTTCGGAGCAAAGATTCTACGTCGTGTGCGACCAGAATGGATCGCCTTTGGCATTGTTCGATACTAATGGCAATTTGTATAAGGAAATGAAACGATCTCCATTCGGTAAAATTATCAAAGACACCAATCCAGACTTCTACCTGCCGATCGATTTCCATGGCGGTCTCTTCGATCCAAATACCAAACTGGTTTATCTAAAGAAGAGATTGTACGATCCAATCGTTGGGCAGTGGATGACTCCAGCTTGGGAACAGATGGCTAACGAGTTGACGACTCCCACGGACATTTTCATCTATCGCTTCCGTAACAACGACCCCATTAATTCGAAACAAAACGTTGAATACATGACCGACTTGACCAGCTGGCTGAAACTTTACGGCTATGACATCTCATCGATGTTGGGATCTGAGTACACCAAGCAAATGGTTTATCAACCAACTGCAACCATAACGTCACCACAGTTGACACCAGATTTCGGAGTCATGTCTGGCTTGCAGTGTATTGTAGATAGGGTACACGAGAAATTTTCGGACTTGGGATTTGTAGCGAAACCACTTCTTAAACTAGAACCTAAGACTAGAAATCTACTGCCAAGAGTTGCTCACAGACGCGCAGTCTTTGGCGAGGGCATTTTAGGTAAGTTTCATCGAAAATATTCATCAAATTGAATTTAACATATATTATTTTCTGCTGTAACTAATGTAAAAATTGTATTCAAATTATAGTATCGAGAATTGGCGGCCGAGCATTGGTGAGTGTAGTCGATGGAGTCAACAGCGTGGTACAAGACGTTATGACTTCAGTTATCAACAACTCGTTCTTCCTGCCATTGCACTTCAGCGTGCACGATCAGGACGTCTTCTACTTTGTCAAGGACAACGTGCTGAAGATTCGCGACGATATGGAAGAGCTGAGACGTCTCGGTGGCATGTTCAATGTGTCGACTCACGAAACGACCGAGCACAGCGGTGGCACGACGAAAGAGCTCCGCTTACACAGCGCTGACGCAGCCGTTGTCATACGCTACGGAGCCGATCCGGAGCAAGAACGCCATCGCATCTTGAAGCACGCGCACAAACGCGCGGTCGAGCGCGCCTGGGAAATGGAAAAGCAACTCGTTGCCACTGGCTTCCAAGGCCGCGGCGATTGGACCAAAGAGGAGCGCGACGAGCTGATAAGCCGGGGCGTAGTCGAAGGTTACGAGGGCGTGGACATACACAGCGTGCATCGTTATCCTCAGTTGGCCGACGACCCGGGCAACGTCATGTTCCAGCGTGATACTAAGCGTAAGCGAAGGAAGAGCGGTAGGTCCTACAGGCATGACGCTTCCTCGTGACCCTTGGATGCCGACGAGGAGGATTACGTTTTTTAAGTGTCAACGTTGCTTATTTAGTGAGCGTGCCATTGTTGTATATTAGTTAATTAATCAACTAACTATTTTAGTTTCGTTTTTACATATTTTTTTTATAAATTTTAAATTGATATCTTTTTCAAAGAATCAATAACTAGTCGCTCGTGATGATGTAGGTATGGTGTAGATGTATGAATTCCGTTTAGCTTTCTTTTGAACAATTCGTTTGATAATGCGCATCGAAAATGGCCTAATCTCGCTTGTCATAATTTTTTGCTCATAATCTCAACAAAATGAAAAACAGGGTCTAAAGTGGGATCGATGACTCATGCAAAATATTATATTCGTCCAATTCGCGCGTTGTGAAATATAATAATGAGAAAAGCGCCGCGGACTTGTGCAAGATAGAATATTCTCCTTGAGGGAAATATACCGGTATTTTTTGACATGACTAAAACTTTTTATTTTAAACAAAAAAAGTGAATGTTATAAAATACAAAAATGTGAAAGTGAAGTTTCGTGTGTGAGACTGCGAACTATTAATATACATATTGTACTTTGTAAATATAGCTAATCATTATATTTTACGTGTGTAGATATTGAAAAAACTGTACGTATATGACAAGTTTAATATTTAATAAGTACGTTTTAGGATTAAAATGAAATTTTCTTTTTACATATGATCGTTATAATAATAAGAGTCTACGAAGCAAATACTCGAAATATATTATTACATGCATTTACCGCGCAGGTATGAAAAATTTGAAAGAAAGCGCAAAAAATTTTTAATTGTTAAGGTTAAATCATTGTAAATATTGAAAAATAGACTAGAAAAAAGTCTTCAGCTTCAACATGTATGTGTAAAAATGGAAACCATTAGGTATTTGTCAGAGAAAATTGATAAAAGTGTGCGCTAAAAGTAATGTTATCCATGTGTCACATAATTGGGACTTGGGAGCTCATAAAAATATTTATACTATTAATTGAAAAGTGTATAATACCATCGTAGGAAATGGAATCTCCATCTTTCTATATTGAAGAATTTGATGTATAAGTATATAAGTTATTTTTTTTACGAAGCATTTTTAATACGACAAAATAAAAATACTCTCGTGCATATGCCTTTCAAAATGAATACATTTTAATCAAATCATTAAAATTCCTTCGTCCTAAATAAAAACGTTGCAATACTCTCAATATTAAAGATTGACGAAGTTTTTCGTTTACTCGTTAATATCTATAAAATGTTTCATTGCATCGTTTAACGTTTAAAAAATGAATTCAAAAGGAGCTAAAATCGATACTTAAGGTGATTATATGGTACGAAAATTTAGAGAAACTAAACGAAAACCACATCAAGTTCATGCTAATAACAGAAATTTCATTAAAAGTGATATATATTAAGTAATAAATATGAAACGCGCGAGCCACGGCGTTTAAACCACGTTGTGTGTTCTGCGGTAATTGTCATGAAAAATGAGCAAAAGATAAATAATCATAAAAATACAGCATCATACGTAATGCAAAATATCGGATAAAAAATGAAATTTATAGTTCAATTGGAAGTCATAGTTGAAATTTTAACGTAGTTCATGGTGTACATATCCTTTTTACCGAGTAGTATACGCAATCGTACAGCTTTGTACACTATCGTACCGACTATCTTTATTCTGAGCTTAGCTTATTTGCATTATATTATTCACTCTACGTTATACTTTGATATTTTTTATTTCATGGTAATATTCTTTTAATGAATTTATTCATCGGCTGTAACGTACTTTTAATATTTATAATTACCTTCAAATGATCTTTTTTAATTTAACTAAAAACATTTTACCTAAAACATTTGATTCTTTTTCATTTTTCTCATTCTTTTCGCCCTTTGAAGTGATTTCAAACTTTGATATTTTTTGTTTGTGATTTAAATTTCGCTTTATAAAATATATTAAAATCCGTTCACTTAAGTGGCCGGTGGCGCGTTGTCTATGTATAACCGAATACGGCTCGCGTCCAAAAAGGGAGAGAGAAAAAAGAAACCGTAATAAAATTATTCACCGAGTAAAACACGATTAGACGATAATTAGTCATGAGCTGGATGGAAGAATTAATTATAAAAATTATGACATATGTGTTTACAACATTGTGTTCATAATTTATGCGAAATTGAAAATTTTATTTATCTGAATCTTATTTTCATTTATAATCAAGAAAAAAAATATCCATGAATTAAAAAAAATATGATTGCTTCAAATGTATGCTTGACTTTTTTTTGAACGGACGTTTTACGAGTTGTTTTTTAATTTTTATGAAAAAGGCTTCTTTTGCGCATTAAGCAGCTAAAAGTAAAGCAATACTTTGTAACTATACTCACATAATTATTAGTCTTAAATACATGCAAAATTAATGAACTAGAAAAAATGGTAATTAATGAATATTTGTAAATTGAACGTCGTATGTAAAATAACCAATAGAATGAAATTATTAAGAAAATGTTAACAATACATGGTGTTATATGCTCGAGGTAAAGATGTAATAATAACATTTATGAATATTCCGATCGAAAAATGTTGAAGTTAACGCCGTTGTAAATATGCAAACAAACTCGAAATGTACATGTAGATTTATAATTGAATTTTCGGTTGCTGCGTTGCAGCGGATTAAGTTATTGCGTTACATGATTATTAAAAAGTTTAGTTTTGTTCTAAAAAAAAACTTGCACTCTTCTTTCAATTCTTAGAATCAATTTATTTCGCGTACGTTAGTAAAATCGATAAAAAACTGTAGCTTTTTTTTATTACATGGTATATAAATCATTTTTAACGTACTAAACTGAAAAATTAAATGATTCACGATGAGGTGATGTAAATATAATTGTAATCAGTATCATCATGAATTTGTAAATAATTTAATACACTGCGTTATATTTCGAATTTCACAAGTACACAGTGATAACTACGTGTTTTTGTTCAATGAACACACGACAGATTTATTTTCAAAAAAATTTTGTTGTCTGTCAGTGACATGAGTATAAACATATGTGGGAAATATATATAAATATGCATATATATTACCATGTAACATTTAATTGATAGTAAGGTATACATATATATAAATAATACATATATATATTCTATACTCTTACATGCTAAGTAATCAATAAATATATCTATAAAATATCCTTTGTGTTTGTGAATGTGTTAACCCTATTACCTCTCCTCGACATTAACCTTCTTGTCGCCATGGACGTTTTTATATGTAAATTTCAATGAAATAAACTCAAATACTAGCATTGGCGAAAAGGAGGTTGAGATCCTTTCTAATAGTGAATCGTCTCAAGTAAATCCGCATGCAATAACGCTGCACGTTTTTTGATTTTTTTGATTAATATTACAAACCTTGCTATAGTGGTAAAAATTATTTTACAAATGAAGACGTATAATTGTCGAATTTTCTGCAGAGTCCAAATCTAAATATGAAAGTTGTAAAAGAATAAAATTTTGTACATAAAAACGTCGTTGGATTTTATCGCGGAGATTTCGATGATACCTTAAAAAAATTTATCACTACTTATGTCTGACAAAGAGCAGACGTGGAGGTGATTTCACCTGAAAGTAAGTTTTTCCTGTAAAATAGATAACAAAGATTTGATTATTACATTAAAAAAAAAAGAAATAATAAAATTAATGGTTGAGGAAATAAAAGTATGAAAATCAAACATCTGGATTGTTATTTTGTGCCGTTATCGATATTTTAATTTTTTAAATATATTTTACGCTAATTTAACAAGTGAATTCAAAAAGCTTGAAAGAAACAAGAAGAAAATAACATTTATATACTTATCATCGAAACAAGAGAAGAGAACTAGTTTTATGAAATCAAGATTCAATAATTGTACAAAAAATGATAGGTAATTTTCAAAAAAAGTATGAAAGTTGGTAGGAATTCTTTTACAGAGCTCAAAAATACAAATTAATTTATTTTTTCAATCCAAATTTATTATCTGCATATTTATCTGTACCTTTCAATGTGTTTCTTAAATTTTCAGAAATTAGAAAAACCAAATTTTTCAAAAATTTTAATAAAATTTAAATTCAAAAACTGATTTTTCAAGATAATAAAAGCAGCTCTTTTTTAAATATCAATAATCCTCTTACGAACTATAAAGATCAATCTATTAGTATTGTAACATCAGGAAGTGTTTGCAATTAGACAAAGAAATTAATATCATTTCTTAGTTTGTTGCAACATATTTTGATTGTATTTTAAGTGTTTTTTATGTATCTTTTGAAACTAATTAATTCGTTAAAGATTTAAAACATTTCTCATTTGTTTTTAATTAATCTTATGTATTTGGTTCAATTGCGTGAACTAATAATTATAAACTTACCGAGGATTTTCAGTATATAGTATTATAGACCCACAGAAACGTAAACAAACTAGAGTCAACCGACAGTAGTCTAAGCTCGATAAATCAGTATATACGTAAATTTATGAGGCCAAAAATCGATGGAGTAGGTGTACTGTTTAACGATAAAATAATAAAGTATCCACAGCATGTCGGGGATATTTCAAGGTGAAATTGTCCGTGCTAGTAGCCAAGATGACGATTCGATTAACGAGCAACCAGAAAAAACGGTCTCCTTCGTCGAGACCCCTATAACAAGAGTAAATACGCATAAAGGCCGTAAGTTGATCTAATGCGAAACAGTGATTTCTTCTCATCGTGTAACATGAGAAAACCCCGAGAAATTTAACGAAAAAAAAAAATTATACGTTGCAGTAAAAAGAATAACCGATGCCATCGAACAGTGCGAAAATATGCAGGTGCTGGACCTGCGAGGGATGAAGATAAGCGTCGATACGGCTGGGGGAATAGCTGAGGCGCTCGAGAAGTCGGGGCGTCACTTGAAAAATCTGCACTGGCCCGGCACTTTGAAAAAGCTCAAGGAAGACGATCTGGACACGGCCATGATGCGGCTGAGCCACGGCATCTGCCTGGCGGACGCCTACCTGACCGAGCTCGACTTCAGCGAGAACAACCTCGGGCCCAGGGGCATGGAGGCCGTGTGCAAACTGCTCACCTCGACCTGCTGCTTGAATCTGCGCGTCCTCAAGCTGAATCAGAACCACCTGGGCGAGGACGGCGCCAAGTGTCTGGCCAAGGCCATGCTGACCGACCCCAACGGCAATATGAACGGCTCCATGAGTCTGCACGTGTTCGAGGCGGCACAAAACAAGTTCGACGACGAGAGCGTCGCCGAACTGGCCGAGGCGTTCAAGCGAATGCGGAGCTTGGAGGAGCTGCGACTCGAGCGAAACAAGATCGGCAACTTGGGGGTCGCGGCGCTCGCCCGCAGCTTGCTCGAGAATCCCAATTTGAAGATTTTAAATCTCAATAACAACAAGATCGGCTTGCAGGGTGCCAAGGCACTGGCCGAGGTCTTGCCGGATCTCAAGCAGCTTCAAGTACTCAGACTCCTAGGTAATACTTTGACCACTGCCGGCAGTGATTTAATTGGTCAAGCTCTCGGTCTTGAATTGGATACACTCAACAATTGAGCCCCGTTATTCAAGCATTTTTGTTTTTTATTTATTTCGATTTGCGCATTATGTTAGCAATTATAATTTTTTTAAATTATAAACATTTTTTATATTGTTACGTTGGCTTTTATGTAATATTTATTTGTCTTATTGTTACCTCTATGTTCGTTGAAAATTTCAACTGTTTCATAAACAAATAATAAAAATGATCCATTTTACGTACCCTCGTTATTTGATGCCTACCGAACTTGTTTGTAGACGCATCACCGATTCTGCGCTTTACTGCGTTTCCTCTCGTATCGGGTTCACTATAGGTCGACCCAACTAAGATAACCTTATATTTACAAACATTGCGCATGCATTTGCTACTTTATGACTTTAGTTTGTTTGTGCTTTTAACGAACGTCAAAATGATCCTCTTTTTACACGTGTGCCTTGCATTTTCTGAACTAGTTGATTTCGTATCATAATTATTTATGCCTTTTTTAAAACCTCTACCCGATTATGAAGAATTTTTGGTTGCTTTTTATTTGAAGCTCTCAAACAATCTTTTAAGATGGATTCAAGCTATCAACAATCCGTCAATGGAGTTTCTCTAGATTTTCAGCTTGACGCTAATTCTAATGTTAATCGTGAGTATAGTAATAGTGCTTAATTTACATTTGATTTTTTAGTAAAATTGATTCACAAGTTTTACTTCTATTTGTCATTTTTTAGCTGAAGAAATTGCACTTGAGATCGAAAAGTGTGAAAACATGCAGTACCTGATTTTAAAGAATGTGAAGATAGGAGTACAATTAGCTCAAGCTATATCCCAAGCTCTTCAAAGAAATGGTGCTCAATTGAAGAGTGTCCAGTTGAATGGCACATTTAAAAGATTCTCTAAAACTGAAATCCCAATCTCATTAAAACACATAAGTTTGGGACTAAGCTTGTCACAAGCACACCTTACAGAGTTAGATATCAGTGATAATTCAATTGATACATCAATTGGCATTCAATCTTTAGTTTGTTTATTGTGTTCATCCACTTGTTATACTCTTAATACTCTTAAACTCAATTACAACTCTCTTAATTCCTTCAGTGGTAAAAAAATAGCACAAGCTCTTTTGGAGTGTCATGCAAACAGCATGAAAGAAACCACCCGTCCCTTAGAATTAAAAGTATTTGAGGCTGGTAAAAATTATCTTGATGATGAAAGTGCCATAGCATTAGCAAAAGTATTTAAAACTATCAAGAGTTTAGAAGAACTTAGCCTACCTAAAAATAAAATTGGTGATCTAGGTATGTTAGCAATAATCGATAGCTTATCAGTCAATCCAGGTATCAGGGTATTGGATTTTAACAATAATAATCTTAGTTTTGAAAGTATCCAGGCACTTGCTAAAATAATACCTTACTTTCTTCATCTTCAGATATTGACACTTTCAGGAAATAAATTAACTTCTAAAGGTGAAGATTTAATAAGTGAAGCTCTTGGCATGTGCAAATAATCCTTGTGCTACATACATTTTTGTTCTTAAATATTTCATGCCAATTTTCTGTGATTTAGACTATTAACTATCTGTGATTAAAATATCTTTAAATGAGCCAAAATATCTGTCCTATCTTTAAATGTATATAAAAATAATTAGATTAATGTTAATTACTTTTTGCTAACATTTATTGTTATTTGTTGAATTTTTAAAATTTATAATGTTAATTTATGATTATATCATTAATTTTAATCTCTAGTGCATTAAGTCTGTTTGATATATTGTATATAAAATAAAAATGATCGTTAAAAAAATATGATTCTATTCATTAAAATTTGTCTTATCCCTAATTTTTCATTTTTTTAATTTTTCATTATCCCTCAATATATAAATTAAATATTAATTCGATGTAAAACATTTGAGATTTAACTTCAGACAGACCCGAATTCAAAAATTATTTCAGGAGGTACTTTGGTTTAATCGAATCCATCCAAATACCCAAAGGATCCGACTGTAGATGCGAGTTGCGAGTTGCGACTTGCGAGTTGCGACCCGCATCATGCGAGAATGGAATACACTGGTTATGACATCACATGCGATATGAAGTATGTGCGCAGATTTGTACTACACATACACACACACTGCACATATTCATTCAAGCCAATTTCCCGCGTATCACAGGCTTCAGCGGCACAGCAGCCGTTACAAAAACGAGCGTCGGAGGACGGTGTGATCCTTTCAGCTGCATTATTTTTCTCGCTTATTGATAAAATACAGTCGATTGTTTATTTACCTTACTCGTAATTACGCACTCAACGGAGCCGTTAGTTTCTGAATCTGTCAAATCTGCAAAGATTCAATAATGGCGAGTTTTGATTTCAACACTTTGAGCAGTACGTTGAATGAGTCTAGCCAAAAGACCGAAGGTACCGGCGTGTCTTTTGCCGGCAAATCATTAAAACTAAACAGCGAGGATGATGGTGAGTAATGATGCTAGAAGGTTTTTTTCAATACTAGTGGTCGCTTCAATATTTTATTTGTTATAATTCGTTTGTATTAAATTTGCAATATAACCTGCTTTACTAAATGAGCTAAATATCTTCTATGTATCACGACTACAAGAAAAATATTTCAATTGAATCGCTTATTTAAATTTTATTTTATTCTTGTTCAATAGTTTATAAGGAATAATAATTAAAACATTTACAAAAAATTGTAATTTACAGTCAAACAAGTTGCTGATGCAATTGAAAAATGTGGTAATATGCAGTTTTTGGATTTGGAAGGAAATACTCTTGGTCCAGATGCTGCAAAAGGTTTATCTAAGGCCATTGAAAAACATGGAACTAACTTGAAGAGAGCTCTTTGGAAGGATTTGTTCACAGGTCGAATGAAAGATGAAATTCCAGTAGCCCTAGAACATTTGGGCCGTGGTTTATGTGCTGCTAAAACTCAATTAGTTGAGCTTGATCTTAGTGACAATGCCTTTGGACCTATTGGTGTAAAAGGGTTAGCATCATTACTTAGTTCTAGTCCTTGTTATACTTTACAACAACTTAGACTTAACAACAATGGTCTTGGTATATCGGGTGGAAAATTGCTGGCTAAAGCTTTGCTTGATTGTAACAGCAATAGTCTCAAAGAAACTGGCAAACCCTTGGGACTCAAAGTATTTATAGCTGGAAGAAACAGATTAGAAAATGAAGGTGCTACTGTTTTGTCTGAAGTATTTAAGACTTTAAAAACTTTAGAAGAAGTTGTGATGCCTCAGAATGGTATTTACCATGTCGGTATATCCGCTTTAGCTAACGGTTTATCTGTCAACAAAGGTCTTCGAATCTTGAACCTTAATGATAACACTGTTGGTCCAAGAGGAGCTGTAGAAATAGCTAATATTTTGCACAATTTCAATTGCCTTGAGCAGTTAAATTTAGGAGATTGCTTATTGAAAACTCGTGGTGCTATAGCTTTAGCTGAAGCTCTCAAACAAGGATCATATCCTTCATTGACTGAAATTAATCTAAGTTTCAATGAAATTAAGTGTCGAGCTGCTTCTGTAATAGCTGAGGCAATGAGTGATAAAACACAATTAGCTTCTCTTATACTCGATGGTAATGTATTTGGCAATTTGGGAAGAGAAGAACTTGTCAGCATTCTTAAAGAAAATGATAAAATACAAGCATTAGGTTCTATGGATGAAGATGAAGAAGAAGATAGCGATGAAGAAAACAGTGAAAATCAGGAGGAAGAAGAAGAAGAAGAAGAAGAAGAAGAAGAAGAAGCCACTGAAAACGATGAGACCAAAAGTGAATCCGAAGATTATGATACTGTGGAAGAGAATCCTAATACTAGTAAGAATGAAAATACTAGCTCTCTCAAAGTGGTTTCCATTCAAGATTTCTTGAAAGCTCCAACAGGAGAAAATTTCTTATTCATTCAAAATGATAAAGCACAAGCATTTTCAGATTATTTACAAGTGAGTATAAATAACATAAAAAACAAAGTAGGAATAAAAAAATTTCATGAAATTGATAAAAATGAAATTTTCACAATATTTTTCCAATTTAAAGGGAATTTTAAAAGCTGAAACTGAAGATTTTATAAATGAAAGCGTTAAATTGATCATGAAAGTATCTGCTCTTTATGCCAGTGGGTACATGGATGTCAGGATACCTGCTGAAATAGTTACAGATCGATTATACAAAGAATTATTTGAATTTGTAACAAAAAATAATCAGCTTTACAGTTTGAACAATTCACTACTTGTGAATTTGGGTCTTCTCAAAGTGAGTAATGTTCTTCAAATGGAAATTCAAATGTTAATTTTGTTAAATCAATTAAAAAATATTTTTTTGACAGGGTGAAGATAAAAAGATGAGAACTGACTGGAATTTAGAAGGCTGCTTCAAGGCATTGGAAAAAATTTGTCAAAAAGATTTCTTCACACAGCAAACCAGAGATTCTCTCAAAGTTTTCATTGAAAAATCAATGAAACCAAGTAGAACTCGAGTAGTAGATCCTTATCAAGAATCTAAAAGCTCACTTAAATCAGCACTGGACCAGATTCAAAGCACGTAACTTATAGAGGTGCTAAATGATTTCTAATTTTAATTTTAATTTGTACATTGTAAATCCAAATAAAAAATGAATATGAGCATGTATATTTAATTAGAAAAGAAAAGAAAAATTGACCAAGCAAGTGTACACAAAACACTCAAAACATATTTTTTTCAAATTTTGGAGTAATAACAGGTATTTTTAATAATTCGTAATTGTTTGTAATAAATCTTCTTCTTTTTATTAATGTTGATTTTTAGATAATAAATAAGAAGAGTCATAATAAAACAAAATTTTTTTTCTACATTCTATTAATGCATTGATCTCCTCTGTACTTGTGTAAAAAAGTGTATTAACAAAGTAACGAGAACAAAATGTAAAAGTGTCTGAAGATGGATTAAAAATTAAATTAATTTTAAAATTAACACAACATTAATTTTATGCCATTAAACCCTACTATCACTTTTTCTGATATTCTTGTAGAATTTTTATAGGCTAGACTTGTTATAATCATTTCATAAATTATGAATGAATTTTGTTTCCTCTCACCATAATTTTGTTGCATGTAAATTTTATAAGTATTTATAGCAGTACTTATTAAGCATGTTTTTAAATATAGTTTATCTTTATCATGTTTCACATGAAACACCATTTGTTGAATTTAAACATTAAACTTATAATGGTCATGTGTGTTAATGCTCATCTGAACAACATTTTTAAACAATAATAATTTGAGTTTTTCAAAGCACTGGTCTCACTTCACCTTGAATATGGATATCATTACAGTTTTAGTCTTGATGTTTAGATTTGATTGTTGATTTAGGGTCCCACCCAATTTGAAATAGTTCTGGATGCAAAGGTGTACAATGCTGTGATATTTGATCTATCATGTAGACTGTTGCCTGCAGAACACAAAAATGAAATATAGTCAAATTTCTTTCAATTTAAAAAGCGGTATTTATGAATTCAATAACTAAATTTTACCAAATACAGCACAAGTTGAACTTTGGTCTGTGAATCAAGACCAGTTCCAAGATCTGCAGGATATGTCACTGAATTATTATTTTTAATAATATCATTAGCAATTAACTCCTCGCACCGTGATTTATCAACATCTTGTTCATTCAATATTAATCCTAGAGCAAAATATGTTTCATCTATAAGAATATTCGATTTTTATAATTTTGTATTTATAAAAAACAACATACGGCCTTCACTAGCTGACGATGCAGACAGAAGATTCTCCAAATATTTCAAAGAATTTGGAGAATCCACAAAGAGATTTGGATAACGCCTGAGCAGCAATTTTTCAAGCAATTTGTTACCTCTATTTCCTTTAAGACTGTTATCTGGTACGCAAATCATTTCATCATCTGTTCGTCTGATAATAAGAACTCTGCCATCGTAACTAAAAATATATTTAAATTTGACATTAATTTGCTTGTTTTTGTATGAGTATGTTACGACGAATACATACGAATTCAGAAGGCTCGCAACATTAAGATGGAAATGCGTTCTTATGACATTTTTCACCAAGGGATGTATTGAAACGGGCATTCTTGCTAGCGCCAGTGGCAAAATATCATCAAATGTAGCATCTAATAACTGAAATTGTTGTGTCAAAATTTTTTGGATTTTAGCAGTAAAATTGAATAATTTTATCTTACCAGGCTTTGAATTTTAGGGTAGTGTTTAGCACCCCAAGCAGCTGTGTAACCGCCAATACTCCAACCATTGATAATTATTTTATTTTCTGCAAATCCAAGTTTGTGAATTGCAAATTTCATCACACAATCTATGGCATTTTTTTCTTGATCAGGAAATGGTGCACCCTAAAAATATTAAATTAGATTCTTTTCTTGAACACTTTTTTGTAGACAAAGATAGATAGAATTTGACTAACAGTACTACCACCGAAACCTGGGTGATTCCACCCTAAAACTGAATATCCTTTATTCATAGGTGTGGATATGATACCAATTTCATAAAATCCACAATTTCCTTCACAAGTAATAACTAATGTAGCTCCATTAGTTGTCCTACAAAATATATCGTACAAATTTGAGTAATTGTTTTCAATATTAAAAATAGTGTCATAGTAATTACTTGTGCCTCCGGTCTAAAAATATAGCATCAATTTCATTTTTATCTTGTGTAAAGAGCTTATATCTCTCTGCTCCAATTTTTATGAGATCAGTTCTGCCTTGCAACAACATTCCACCTACATGAAAAAAACTGTTTTTTTTTCAAAATTCATTAATTTATATATTTTAATAAAAACTGACTTACGCATTGCTAAATTTACAAGTGACACACTGCCAGGATAAATCAACTTTTGAGCAACCATATGAGCTATTGTATATGAAGCAATTTTACATGGTACTGCTAGAATAGCAGATTGTTTCCTTCGATAACTAGAACTATTAGTACTAACATCAGTCCTACATAATTAAATAGCAACATTTCAATTATTTTTTTCAAATAAAAACTTAATATTAATGGTATTATTATTTTAAATACAAACTTTTCTGTAATAGGTATAGTAGATACATTGAAATCAATTGGCCATGCCCAAAATTCAAAATCAAATTTATTTAACTCTTGCTTAGTTTCATTATTGTAATTTGATTTGGCGTCATCTAACACTTTCATGAATTTCATATAAGTTGGATTCTTTGCTCTGGAGTATCCTCTTGCCATCAAAGACGTAACTAAAATAATTCCAGCTCCAGTCATTAATTGAGTTATTGTCATAGCATCTGCCAAAGGTGAGCCTCTTCTGTACATGGCTATGATTATTAGAGGAATGGCATAGATAGTTAGAGACCAAGCTGTTACAAGCTAAAAATGAGAAAATAAATGTTGAACTTCAGTATTAACATAAAAAGTGCTTGTCACAACAAATTTTAGGAAACTAATATCATATTTCTGTTGTTATTATTGTTTAGTTCTTATTATTGTTGTTATTCCAATACGTATATGATTAATAGGAACAAAATGTCATCCAGTTAATCGAAACCGTCCCACAAATACTTTAGAAATTCAGCTCACCGAAAAAACTACGTGATCTCCCCATCTTTCTAATCGCTGCGCTTCATATGGTTTCTGAAAGAGTAAACGACAATAATTGAATTAATATTCTGTGGTGGAAAGGACTAACGAGATAATTCCATTTTTTTCGAAATCGAGTTTATGACATGAATTACCTATATGTTATGTCTACTTTAAGGTACAAGTGTCACAAAAGCTGAAAAGAGCACCTATCGTTCAATATAACACCGTGCCTAACGAGATAAGTCCATTTCGCTGCAAACGATTCCCGGCCAAACGAGATAAGTCCACCTTTGCGAGCTCCAAAATACGATAAAGAGTCTAGATTGATTTGAAAATGGAAGAAAATGATATTCCAACATACAAATGGCTCTCACACTCTTCGAATGTTGTGAATTTCACTATATGATTGGTACATTTGATACGCGAGGGGCCATTTTCGCGATTTTCAGTGTGGCCTTTTTTCGTTGCAAGATTTGAGATCTGACACCAGTATAACGTTAAATGAGCTATTTTATCAATGAAAAATCATTACTTGAGGTTTTTATTACCAAATAAGCGAAATTATCGATATTGAAAAAAGTGTGACTGCTAAAAGTGGACTTATCTGCTAAGCGGGGAAAGGGCTAACGAGATAAGTCCATATTTTTTGCTCCGTATCATCACTATGATGCGTCTTTCAATTTCACAAGTACATAGTTCAAAAGATACCTCATAATAGGTAAAAATAATATAGGTACAGATCTTTAGTCGTCCGCGTCTAGCTAGGCCCTCGTGCGCAACTTAAAACGCGTTTCTCTCGAAAACACGAAAAATGGAGTTATCTCGTTAGGCCTTTTCACCACAGATATTGTTACAGATAAAAAGATTGATTAACGCTTGTTGCTAAACGAAAGGACTGCGACACAATCAAGCTATAAATATTAAATTAAAAATTCATTTCGTTTAGCAACGTTATCGAGCGTTTGGCGTGCTAAAAATTGAATGCGGGTACTTAATACGCACGTCGATAAGACGCCCTACCCATGAGACTTCGTAGTATTTGTAAAGCCGTGGACTCAGGGCGCACTGCCACAGAGTCCTGATCGGTGACATGATCCAATTTCACCCGAATCGGAGCTCACTGCAAACTGAAACTTTGAAATTTGTCGGGCTTCGACATGAAACGACGACAATTCCGTCCAATTTCATCAAGAGCTGACGCGTGTGCTGCGTGTGTTTTGGTTACTGCTTTCGCGTTTGCGTGTAGTCTGCACTGTCTGCCACTAGAGACGCTTATAAGTCTGCGGTTTTATTTTCAATCATTGACGGTGGGTAGGTTAAGGTATGACTAGCACTCTAGTAGTAGTAGCGAATCGACGCTCTCAACCGATGTATGTTACCTTTAGATTTTCGATGTGCCTAGAAAAACTTGGTGCGCTGCATGCTCTCGAGTGCAGTCGACAGTCGAGGCTTTATAAGACAGACGACGTCTGAATTTTGAGGATAAATACAGTTCACATTGTTAACAATCAACATTCGACTCGGAGCAATTGACTGTGACTGACCCTATCATTTGTGCTTTGCTGTTTTCTCCCGTAACGATTAATGCAGTTCTTAAATCGTGTATGATTTAAATGTTGAAAATTGTTTAACTTGTTAAATCAAAAATACCTTCAAAATGCAGAGATCAAGAAGTCGGAGCCCCAAAAAGAAAGGAAACTTGTCGTAAGTTTGTGAACTAACACAATTTAATTCTAGCTTTGTAGTGAAGTATTGACAGTTTTTCTTTCTTTATGGCAATTAAAAAATTTACTTTATTTACAGGCGAGAAGAAATTTTGTTAGCTCAATCAAAACAAAAGAAATTTGATTCACAAGCATTGAAAATTGTTGAGCAACTACTGGAGCCAGACATTGATCATGAATGGCTTTTAAAAAATGTTAGTTGCTTACATATTTTTTGAATATTAAATTTTGTTATTTGATTAAAATAATCTCTTATGGTTTTTTTTTAGTTGAAAAATATTAGTAGATGTCACATGGAAGATGTCATTGAAGAGCGTGCTATATCTAAGTTGTGTGGCTATATTCTTTGTTCAAATCCATTAACAGAGACAATTAAGCAGCAATATCGTATTTGTTTGAGAAGTAAAAAAGTTTATGATGTTTCAAAAAGAAAAAATTTTTGTTCTTCAAATTGTTATGGAGCATCCAATTATCTACTTGAACAGATGTTAACTAGCCCTCTATGGGCAAGGGAAAAAGAAAAGATCCCTAATTTTACAATTCTAAACAAAAATGATAACTTAATAATCAATCATGATGAGATAAGCTTTAATAATAATTCATCCACAAATGATGCAGAAGAAAATAACGTGACGTATTCTGAAACACTTGAGGAACAAGCTACTGGAAATTTAGAACAATTTGTATTAGAGGCTCTTAAAAATATTGATAAGAATGATGATAACAAACATAGTGCTACTGAAGATGTTAGTGCAGAAAATAATACAACATCTGAAAACAAAAGTTTGAATGATGAGAAAAACAAAATAAACAGAGCAGAAAATTTTTCAAATGACATTCAGGCAAATGATGAATTAGCATCGAAAAGAAATAATAATACAAAGAAAAAAAGAGTACATTTTGCTGAACCCATAAATGATTTTCAGGATAATGAATCATCAGATGACGAAGTACTCGAACAGCATGTTTATTTTACTGATGACCAAACACAGAAAGAGGAAAATCAAAAACAAAATCAAATTGCTACAAAAATTGAGTCCCAAAATGATGTAATAAATAATGATTCAGACGATGATCTAGTTGAACAAACAATTTATGCTGTAAATAATAATTCTGACGATGTCGTTCAAAATGATCATCATTTACACACAAGTTCAGATAAAAATGATTTGGAAAGCTCTTTACAAAATGAAAATACTTTAGAAAGTGAATCTGATTACTATGATAACGAAGAGCAAATTCATATTGGAGAAAGTAGTGACAATGACACAATTGGTCAAACTTCAGAAGATGATGAAAATGTCATTTATGAAGAAAGTACTGACATGTATGAAAAAATTTTGTCATCATTTGATACTCCGCCAAGTAAAGACAAAGAAAATTTAAAGACATCTAATGACTTTGATTCACATTGCTCACCATCTGTGGAAGCAAATAAATTAGTAACTCAAGAAATGAATAATTCATGCAATTTAGAGGCACAGCTTGCATCAAAAATAAAAAAAGACAGTGTTACAGATGAAATAGCAAATAATAATGATGAAAACAATCCAAATAATAAATCCATTAATACAGTTAATGATGAAAAAATTATTGTTGATCAATTATTGACTAAAAAAAAAGATAAAATAAATCAAACAAAAACAAAAAAAAAGAAAAAACGCTCAGAGCTCGATGCTACCTTTACTTCAAGTTTAGCGAAAAGAGTAGAAATTAGTTTTCATGAGTGGGTTCAAGAAGAAACTAAAAATTTCCTTTTTGGGGATGAATCTATCAAACAAAAAGCTATTGAAATGATTGAAAGGCAAGAAAAATATTCTATCTTGTGTAAAAAATTGAATAAATTACAGTTTGATGATGAATTGGAAGATGAAAAGTGTCTTGCAAAGCCAAATTTAAAACCAGCTCCACATTATTCTATTTTAAAAGAAGAAGGACAGAAAATTGATATCAAGGTAAAATTTTGAAATATACTTCATACAAATTGATATTTAAACTACTACTTATTTTGCTACAGGTCAGAGCATTTTATCAAGGTAAGCTTACCTTTGATGAATATGAACCATCTCCCTCGGAAGAAACAGTTGAAGATACTAATACATTTGTACCTTTGACTGAAGCACATGCACCCCAGGCATTGAGAAGAAAAATATTTTGCGAAAAACTTGACCACATGTAAGAAAAAATTATATTACGCAGAGAAATTTTTGTACACATTCAAATTGAAATTTTTTTTTAAGATTGCCGGAACTTCTGCGAACCTTAGGAGGTAATTCTGAAGCATCAATCAGAACAAGTTTAAAATATACTAGTGCTAAAAGCAAGATTGTTAAAGCACTTGTGCACACATTTGCTTTGTCTGCTAAAAATATAATCTTCAAAACTGCTGAATGGACTTTAGTAGGACTTATAATAATAAAAATGTAAGTTCCATAAAAGTAATATCTTGCACAAAAATGATAAAAGAGTAGTATGAATAATAATATTATTAAACATTTTTTTAGGATCAGTTTGTTGGACTCTTGGCTTCTGAAATTTCTTTCAACTCAGCAAGCTAAAATGTATCTTACTATGATTTTGACTTCATATCAATTAGAAGCTAACTATTTGACATATTTTGTCAATTCCTTAAATACAAGATGAAACTTTTAAAAGATAGATCTTATTATTAAATTTGACTACGTCTTTAATTTTAATATATTTTAAAAACTTTGATAGTGTAAAAAAATAAGTGATGATATGCTGATCGTGTTAAATTTCACGCTAAAAAAGACAACACATGTAATTATTTTATAAAAATGTATTTACTTTTTTATATAAAATCGAAATCGTTTTAATTTCATATTCTTCATTACATTTTATGTGAACACATGAATACAAAATTTTATTTTACTCAATTCATACTTCGTACATTTTTTAACATAGAATAATCGATTTTTTTTCTTATTATATGTGTTCTAATTTACATTTTCTATACAAAACCACTGGTTAAAAGATTTAATTCAAAGTATCTGCAATTGTCGGAGGAGGAGGTAAAACAGGCACTGAGCTTTCAATATTAGATTCAGATGGTGTAGCTCCTTTCTTTTCATTCTTCCGATTCTCAATTTTGTCTGTAACTTGCTTGTATAATGTATGTATGCCTTCATGTTGCTAATGGACAAAAAATGTATTATTAGAAATTTTACACTTATATTTGTGGAGTAATTCTATGCTTGAGTATAGCTATTTACCTGGCTACTAGGTTCCAATGATTTCATTAGTGTTTTAAGTCTAGCAGCTGGAAGTTTTGTATGAACCCAATAGATCAATTTCAGTATATGCCGAGTAACACTATCTTTTGGCATTCCCGCAAAGAAAAATTCATCAAATATAACAGTACAAAATGATTCGTTTGAAAATTCGTCTGCCATGTTATTAACAAGTATGATTACCTAACAAAATAGAATAAAAATTATTATTATGCATCAACGTCTTAAATTTCAAAATTCATTCTAATGAACTTACAAGAGTATGTAAAAATGGATCTTCATAAGCTCTTTGTCCTTCACAATTTGGCAGAGTAGCAAGAACACGCATGAGCCCTTTAGCATCACCTTTTGGTTTTACTTGTGCATTTAACCCTCCTACTTGAAGAGCATAATACATAGCCAGGATAGCCGCAACACCAGATAAATGTGCATATGCCTGGCAAGCATCTGGAGGTGGTCCTGAATGTTCAATAATGGCAATAGCACTTTCTCTCTCGTCTGGTGGCAATCGTTGATTTAACTGTCTAATTTGATCATCAACCTGGAATGAAACAAAGTTTATAAGAATCTTTTAATAATGTTAACAATTTTTTAAAATAAATTCTTACCATAAGTGACATTAATGCTGGTATAAATTTTGTTACTACTTGGCTGTCTAATTTTGGTTCTTTAAATTCTTGTGATTCAATTATTTGACAAGATGAAAGTCCCAAGGCTAACATTCGTAAAAGCAATACTAAAATTGCATTTTCTCTAGGTAATGTTTCTTGATTAATAAGGTGCCAAGCTATTTTCATTGCACTACTAGCTAAGAAGTTTACTGCGTATGGATCACATAGGGTCATGCTTAAATCTCCCAAAACCTCTTCTTGTCCTTTCTATAAAAAGATTTACTTTTTAATAATTATCAACTAAAATATAAAATTAATATTGTTTGTTTTTTTAGTATCTCAAATATAAGTATTTATGCAACTTATAATCATGCTACTCCATTAAAGGTAATAAAAATATTAACCTTAATACTGTCTAAAAATCCTTGTAGTTCTCGAGATCGTTTGATATCTACATTTTTTTCTCTTATGCAAGCATCCAGACACCAAGTGAATTTATGGCATGGATCATAAATAATTATATCTTGAATCTGAAAATAATTAAATTTGATTTATACTTAATAAATTTTGAGTTATAATTTACATTGCATAACTTAAATTTACCTCCAAATCATGCAGAGCCATCAATAATTCTGCTCTTAGCGTGCAGTAGTGAACATTCTTTGTTTTTACAAATAAAGTTCTTAAAAATTGTAGAACCATATCATATAACTTAAGACAATTTCCTATCATGTGTGCTAGTTTTTGTACAACTTTACCTTGTCTTCTGACCTAAAATATAAAAGATTTTTGTAGAGTTCATAAGTTAAATTGATAAAATTTAATGAAAATCATACCTTAGGTGAAGGAAGGAAGAAACCATTATTCAAATTTTGATGATCAAAAAGGACTTGTTCTTTTTCAATGATATAACTACTGAACAAAGGAGAAACTTCATCGCCAAAAAGACTTTGATTATCTTTCCAAATTTGTCTTTTAACTTCTGTGTCTGCATCAGCATACAATTCTTTTTCTGTCACCAATACTTTCAAATATTTGTCATCAATATTAGGTGTGTTTCGTAATATAGCCATAACTACTGGTCGCAATGCAGTTGTTCTAATAGCTGGAAAGCATTTAACTAAAAGTTCGTTCAATTGAGGAGAATTTTCTTTTTCTTTGCCATTGTTGCCAATTTCATTGATTCGTTTTATCAACTGTTCTCTTAACTCTTCTAAAACAGATGCATGAAAATCAAACCTTTGAACTCCATGAAGATCCAACAATGGTAACATAGTTGATAGAGATGGTAATGAAACTCCATTTTGTGCCTGCATAATGAAAGTAATAATAAATTGGATAAGTAAGAAAAAGTGTATCAAAAGGTAAATCTGATAAAAGTATGAAATTTACCTGAAATTCTTCAATAGCTTTTAAAGGGTCATTACAGCTTGTCAAGGAATCTTTCAAAAATGCTTTTCCTGGGATACCAAGATCCTGCAAAGGATCACCGGATGATATCACCCCACTCTTGTCAATCGGCATTTTATACAGTTAATTTTTAACTTTTTTAATATAGTTTAATTTTTGCTCAGCAAAGTTGTTTACTTTTTGACACTTTACGTACACAAGCATAAAATAATGGGTTATAACCTATCAATAGGTCTAACGAATTTAAAGAATTTAACAACAGTATTAAAAAATTACACCTTATTTATCTCAAATTTATCACAGCACTAAAAGACATGAGCTTGATCTCGGTTCAATAGTCACTGTATCGAGTATTTCTATGCAAATATCTATATCGTTGCGGTAAGATGAGCGTTCGGATTTCAGAATAAAACTGTTTATGGACGCTGAACGCGTGCCGGCTGCCGACTGACTGCCGAGTCCCGAGCCGACCCAAACTCCGACTATCCACAGGTCTCTACATTTCTCTATTCCCCCTCCTCAAAACAAACTTAGGAGACCGATTTCTGCACCGTTTTTCATTAATCAATCCAATGGACCTATTGAATCTTAGTCTAGACACTGAGGGGGTTTTGTATGCATTGGAAGGTACCACAAAAAAGGAAATGTATTTTTACGCATTTCGACCCGCTGAATCCGAATTTTCAACTCTCACCTGGCTCAAAAAGTCGAGTAATTTGTTATAAACAAATTAATTATTTATACGGCTATAACTCCTAAACTATTGAATTTTTACCAAAACAATTTTTTTTTATTTTATTGTACGCAAAAAGACAAAAATTTCCTTTTTTTATTCGTCTTGATACGACCAATTAAACCGGAGATATTGTTAAATAGTACAAAATGACGATATTGCATAAGGTCAATGTGTAGGGCTCGGACTGCCGCGTCCATATATAATTCATTTACTACAATTTTTTACTAACAATATCTCTGGTTTGATTGGTCGTATCAAGACGAATAAAAACTGGAAATTTTTGTCTTTTTGTGTACAATAAAATGAAAAAAAAATTGTTTTGGTAAATATTTAATAGTTTAGGAGTTATAGCCGTATAAATAATTAATTTGTTTATAACAAATTACTCAACCTTTGGAGCGAGGTAAGAATTGAAAATTCGGATTAAGCGGGTCAAAATACATAGAAATACATTTCGTTTTTTGTGGAACCTTCCAATGCATACGAAACCCCCTCAGCGCCTAGACTATCTCGTTTGGTTTCACTACTTATTTTAAAGAGTTGGCAAAGTCAAAGTAGGAATGAAAATTTTCAAACCCATTTTCTAGGATTGATTCCCGATGAATATTTCAATAAATTCAAAAGACCTTAATATTTCTCCTTATAAAAACAAAATATATATTGAATCTCAGAATACTTTTTATTTCGATACAGGTACTTTTGAATTCTAATAGTCTGTTATTATTATTTAATGTAATACATTTATGCACTTTATACTTTTGAAATTAACGCTTTCGTAATATTTATAATTAAGGAGCAGTTTGATTTAAAAATGAACTTAAAGACCCAGTGAATTAAACTACGCAAATTCATTATTAGGTATCAAGAGATATGAAAAAAATTTGGTAAAGATCTGGCGCAAGTAGGTGGAAAGATCCTCTTGTAAGTAATGCAAATAAATCCATGGGTGTTAGAAAATTCTAGCGATTTGGATTAGAAACTAATGCAGAGATATCAACAATATTTTTACTTAATTTTTTTAAGGTATTAATAGGGGAGACCGGGGTGTGTTGGCGCTATTTTTAAACAACGGTTATTTTTTAATCGATATTAGGATTTTATCGATGAATTTTTTTCACAGATAAATAGAGCTTGTACAGACCTAACTGTATGTATGTACTTTTATGCCAATCAAAAAATATTTCTTCCCTGTTTAGGCTTTTTTATGTAGTGAAGACACAAGTGTCAATTTGCCCCTGCGGGGGGTAAGTTGGCAAAGCTTTGGGGCAAGTTAGCACAATAAAAATGGCGTTTTATTTGGAGTTCATTTTACTCTGAATTATTTTTTATTTAACATTTAATGAATTTTAACGTCATGACCAATAAATTCGAAGCAACTACATTCGATATTGCTAATTTTCGATGTTTTATTCTAACTGCGATAACTCATGCAGGCATAAACAAATCGATCTGAAAATTTTACATAGCATTGTTTGGGTGCTGATGGAGTGCTGTATACTTTTTTAGCAACATCCGTGTATCCTAATATATAATAGAGGCACGCGAATTACGAAAACCTGTGTTCATATATACCTATACTAGTGTACGTGTAGTATCAGACATTAAACGCTAAACATACTCCCTATTTTTGTGTGCTACTGCCGATTATCCCAATAATAATTTAGACGACTCCACAAAAAACTCATTGAAATATAGTTTTATTGCGATACTCATTGAAGCTACTATTATTAATATCATAAGGCTGAAACAAATATTACACTGATGTCATATGTAATTTTGTTATATAAAATTCAGTCCCTCAGCATTTACAAATGTAGAAGCTCGAAACTGCACATATTTTAGCTTTTTCATATCGTATACTTTTTATCGCACGAAGTATGTCTTCTTTTGTCGCACTAGCTCTGTTTGTTTTTCTAATATAATTGCGAACGATTTTGAAAAAAAAATTTTTTCGACAAAAAATATGTGCCAATGTCCCCCAGAATTTTAGTGTCAATATGCCCCGATCACTCCGACATTATAAAAAAAACACTTAATAACAAAGGGCATTATTCGAACACTAATTTAACACTTCGGTACATTACTCAAGAGGTATCTTAATATAATAGAAACAAAATTATCACAATTACTTTATTCGATGGAAAAATAATCGAAGTTTTCGTAGAATTTAATATTCTCCTCGGTCTGTGGAAATATTTCGATCGCCCCTGCTTCGGTGCTCAACACTGATTCGAAACTGATTTTCTGTACAAACATCCATCATCATAGATTGTTTAAATTAATGGTAGCGCCATCTCCTTTGAAGTAGCTGATAAGGAGAAATATGCGGTGTGCCAACTTACCTCGTATGCCAACACACCCCGGTCTCCCCTACAAGCAAATCAAATTCTTGGTGGAAGTATATAATTTATTTATTTCTTTATATCGTTACACTTTTTAAAAAATATACTTTGATAAATATTAAAAATAATAACATTTAAAAATTAGTATTGTGGTATGTAACATAAATTGCAATGTTTGGGTGATTAAAAAAATTACAAATTCTATCATTCCAAACAAATAGTCAAAAATTTGATTAAACTTAATATTCAATCACAATAAAGAAATAATTTCAATAGCAGCATAGAAAAGATAATTAGCCAAATTTCTTAATGTATTTTAAACAATATTATACAAAAGAATATCATAAAAGATGTGAACAGTTGCATTTCATTCATAGCAGCTCCTGTGAATATTAAACATTAAACTTTCTCATAAGTGTTATGGATTTTTTTATTATAAATCTAACTGATCAATTACCTGAATCTGCAGAGTCCAATTCATTGTCTTTATCAGGAACGCATCGTTTGCTCGATGCAGTGTAATGATGCTCTGGCTCACAGCGACAGCGACGCTGGGCGCAGATGGCCGAGCCGAGGCTCTTGCATTGGGCGCTCTCGGTGCACTCGTCGTCGAGATTCCGAGCTTTCGGAAGGCAGCTTGTTCGGTCGGTGCTCATCGCGCGGGCATCTGGACACTCGCACGAGCCAGACTTGCAGACGCTCATTTTCACTCTTTGACAATCTTCCGTCTTAGTACAATTCTCCACTTTGCCAATTCTTGCAGCTGTAAATTAATTTATAATGATTTTTATACTTGCATGCTTATTTGTATTGAATTATAAATGAGCCTCCGGTATGCAGTAGACAATTTTGAGAAAATGTAGAACGTGTAGAAATTCACAAAAAGCCAAATAATTTGCTACTTTTATTCTTGATTAATTATGCAAGCTCTAACATGATCACTACATAATGAATCGAGTGAACAGCCGATAAGTATGTACAAAACATTAAAAGTCGAGATGTGGCAGACTTTGATCTTTCATTCAATCAGCTCATAAAGAATTTTTATATAGAAGAGCTGGTTTATAAAGAGACTTTTTAACTAGAAAATAAAATCGACAAATACCTTCATCTTGAAACTTCGGCGTGGAAATAAGTTCTTTCTCTGTGCATTGGTCGTAATTATCTAGTTTTCCTGGATAAAGACAATGGCAAAATGGTACGAAACATTTTGGTTTATAAGCTGCCTTGATCATCAAGAGACAATCATTGTCTGAATTACACAGTATATCGAAAGCACCTATTAAAAATTTGTAAAGAATAAAGAAAAAAAATGAATTATTTTATATTATTGGTCTCTTGTACAACAAACTTCACTTACCGATTTCTTTATTCAAAGTTAGAATGAGGAATGGTAATATAAATGACGCTCGCTTCATGGCTCGCTGAATCATATTTGATTAAATTTCAGCAATTTTGAAAGTGAGAGACTAAGTTATGTGAAGCACCTGTTACATTCGCCTGGGAATGTATGCAACGATACAACGATAACGATGTAGTTACTGCAAGCCAGGCAGTATCACTCTCTTTTAGGGCGATAATTGCTGCAGCCCAAGATTCGCACAATTCGCCAATCGTCTACGTGATGATTCTAGGACCGAGTAAGAAGAAAGAAAAACGTAATACTGCGAGGGTAAAAGAAATAACCGAATTGAAAACGCACCGCGGGGCAAACGAAATAATGAAAGCGCGCGAAAGCATATAAACGGTTAATTGCTGAGGCTCGTCCGCGTAACACTGCGGAGGAAAGCAGTAGGTTTGGCTGTGAACAACAGCGAGCAGTTCATTGGTCAAGAACTGCCCGGTAAGCAAAAGCATCGGACCTGAGACAATTCTATCGTTGAGGCCCATCCATGAATGCCAACGAGGCTTTCGGAGACGCGGAATCGCTGGGTCAGCAATACATGACTTATCGGTGCTCCTACTTGATACGCTCGCGATGGTGCAAATGCGCTGACCTCGACGCGACTACAGAAAAGTACAGAAAATTCTATAATTAAGTACCCATTACAAAGTATTGACATTTTTTTATCGGTTAATTTTTTTTATTTTTATTTTTGATATTACGTATATTAAATTTTTTTCCCTGATGATTCCAATTGTTTGTTTTTCTGTTTTTTCGGTAAGAGATCGTTGCACGAATCACAAAATATTGAGCAGTACATAAAAATGTACGATTTACAACATTTCAGTTTCTACCCGTTTGTTCAGAAATATTGTTCAGAAGCAGTAAGAAAAATCGATTCTGCTGTAACGTCATTTTCGTTTATTTTTTATTTTCAATCTGAATTAGAAATTCAACAACAACGCATACCTATGTTGAAGTTAGTACGTAAACCGATTTGAAATTATCTTGTTTACAAATAAGTATCAGCTGTTTGCTTCAATTTGCCCTGTGCGAAAAAAATATTATTTATGCTCTAACTGTTTGAGTGAAGGATCCATAAATATATCAATTCATAATAAGATTTTCACAACCTACAATAGTATACGAATTTGTGGATTATAGGTATGAAGTTGTAATTATTTTTCTAATTTTTCTATACAACGAATAGCCTTGTAAAATTATTTCTTGAACACTAACTTTTAAATAATTTACAGCGCTTTGCAATGCAAAACACGAATATTTGTAATGGTATGTTTGGTTCCAACTCAAGTGGCCATTTAATTGAAACTTCGACAGATATGAATTCATGTCGTGAAGAAATCAATTGCAGTAAAAGCTATGAACAGAGTAATAACTACGGTAAAATAATTTGGAAACACGAAGAAAGATTAGAAAAAGAAATCAGAAATACCAATGCTCAGGAAAGAAAATCATACTTTATCAGTGTATCGCCTCAGCAAAAATATCAAAACCATCACCTAGATGATGAATTTGATGATCTTGATGATGATTCACTCAGAGTTATACTCTTAGTTGTGGTAATTGTATTACTGTTGATGTTAGCTTATTTGTGCACAGTTATAATTTATTATTAAATTTGAATAAGTTACTTGAGCTTTCATGTACAGATGTAAAATTTATTCGATGAAAAATAAACATGGTTTGTCATTCACCGTCATAAAATATGTATTTTACATTTACTTATTATGACAAAAATAATTATAAAAATATCAACAATTAAAAATAATCTAATCCCACAAAATATGTACAATAATTTGTTCTTTAAAACTAAACATAATTAATTAATATTTTCAAGATTCATAAGTCGAGAGATCATTGCGATGTCGTCGAATCAGAGTTTCGCGACGCGCGCATTATTAGGTGCCAATTGTCCCGTTGAGCCGTTGCGATCGCAAAGTCGGCGAACCTCACGCTTTGCAATTTTTAAAAGCCGACCCTACTCCACGCTCTTTTGGCTTTTATGCGGTAATAAGATATATATGTCGCACGCGGCATGCGGCCTGTGTTAGTTTTTTAAACGCAATTATTTTTACAGACAAATCTTTGTTAGCTTGTACAAAATTTCTGTCAAGTTTTCAAGTGCATACTAACAATACAACCTTAACTTAACTTCTTTCGGCGGGAAAAATATTCAGATTACCGTCTGGTATCGCAATGTAAGACGTTTATAACCTCATTGACTCGCTCAATCAAACATTGCGATTCGCGACAACATCGAATTGGCAACTAATTTTTTTTATCATCTTTTCTTTTGTAGTTGCTCTTTTTTAAAGTAGTGAACGGTAGAACATATGTGTTATCAAAGTATCAGTGCATTATAAATGTGTCACGACGATGAAGGAATTGGAAGAGACGAATTGCGAGGTGAGCTTATTGCTCGACTTCAATCTTGTTCTTATCTGTACTTACATTTTTCACTCAAAATTTAGGTACGGAGTGTTGTGAATTTCGACTTGCCACAATGGGAATCGTCGGATGGTCCGGAATCTCGCGACGAAGATGTTGCTTTGTCGCAAACAGCAGGGACTGGAATCACTGATAGTTCCAAGGAAGCTGAAAATCTAACTGGCGGCTTTCTTGGCAATGATTGCAAGCACTCTTGGATGACTCGAGATCGACATCTAATAGTTCTTGACAATCGCACAGGCAAATGCATTTGCTCTTGGGTTTTTCAATATAAAGTTACCACTGTCTCAGCCTTTCCAACTAGAGATGGTCAAGTACCAGTGTTGCTTATTGGTTTGGATAACAATGCTGTCAAAATTAAAGATTCTGTTGGATATCTATGTATTTTTGACTGCTGCTCTTCAAATGTTCTTACTACTATTGAAGTATGCTAAACTAATTTATAATCCACTTCTATATTTTGTATATTGACTTGATAAAATATAATTTTTGTAAAAGGTTCCAGCTGGCGTTGAAAAGGCATGTGTTATTCATGGAGGTATGGCTTGGGAAGATTACAATGAAAGAAGACCAAATACAGTATTGTCTGATAATTCTGGGCTTATCTTCACTGCCCTTAGAAATTTACAGCATATTATTATTGATGTCAACCGTGTATTGTGGAAGGACTTTTTCCTTGAAGGAAAAACAATTACTGCTAGATTGGATTTTGTAAACACTACCCACAATACTGCTAAAAAAGCTAGAAAAGAATATACTCACTTAGCTTATGACTTGATGGAAAAAGGTATAGATGAATCATGAAAAAAAATTTTTCAAAATAAATTGATATATTTTTCATTTTTAGAAATTGAACAATTCATGGGATTTGATAGAAAAGATTTTGAATCTACTCCTTTGTACGATGAAAATTTATGTTCAGTTTTAATCAGTTCAGAAAAAACTGGATGCTTAATAACTGGTTGTCTTGGTCGAGTTATCATTTGGCAAAGTGATGGTTCTATAGGTTGGATTAGTCCTCTTTTTGATGAAAATGCATATGTCACTCATATTGCTTTAATCGAACCATCTGATGATCCTAGACCTTTTTATTACTTGTGGATTGCATGCCAGGTAAAATATAAAACTATCTCCTCATAAAAACTTATTTACCAAAAATTTATTATATTCATTATATATGAAAAAGAATACTTTTAAAAACATGTGAATATGTTACAGAATGATTCACCAGATTCATCTGCTGTTCTTCGCATGTATGCTATGCTTTTTTCCAAAAAGCAAATATCTTCCTCGTCGTCGTCATACTACTATGACCTAGAATCAGATCCCAGTTTAAAATTTGAACTGGAACTTGATATAGGTGAACGTATTCATACTCTTCAGCCTATAGAAAGAGAATGCCTTCGTGATACATCAGATATCTCATCTATACGTGGTGAAGATTCATTGTTACTCATTGGTACCGATGATCGTGTTCTGATTTTTGATTTGAATCGTTGGTATAAAGAGCAAATGCCAAGAACCATAACTGAGTGTCGAAATCCCAATAGTGTTATGGCTAGCTACAGAACAAAGACTGATGATATGGAGAGAAAAAATGTCTTTAATTGTGCGTTTGTGCCTAGATCACTTAAAGAATTTATCAGTAGGGGTCCAACATCAATGGAAGAACTATTTTATCCTAATTCACTAATGTTGGAGTGGGCAGAAATGAGTAATGATGGTGTTACTGGTTGGTTGGCTAGAGGTGTCCAGACTGAACTGTTAAGAGATATTACAATCGCTGGCCCGATTGTATTAGTGAAACCATCTGAAACTTACCATCGCTGTTTGAGTGCTGGTTTGGTAAGATATTGCAAAAACTAAAATTTTTTTCGCTTTTAATGAAAGCAACAATCATTTAATTATAATTTTGAATTTTTAGATTCCTTTTGATTCAACTCTTCAAGATCATCCTTATCGAGCTGAAGCAGCTCATCAACGCGAAATGTTATTGTCTTTGTGTCTTGAACAACGTAGGACAAACTTTTTAAGTAATTGCGGTCGCGAATGGTCGGATGGTAGTGCATCTTATCTTTACCCCGAATTTTTGCGTTGGGGCGTACAACGTGCTTCAGAGATAAAAATGCTCGCCGACCATTTATGTATACCACTTTTTGATCATTCTGGAACAACTATTGGTGAAGCTGAAGCAAAAACATTAAGATTCTGTGAACAACAGTTAGAGTGCTTAACAAATGTTATAGGAAGCTTACCTCGTATTGAAAAAGATTTGGAAAAGCAGAGAAGAGCTTTAAAAAGAATTGCAACTTATCTTCAGGTATAAACTTTTAATAATTTATATATAATATAAGCTTTTTGAAAATCTTGACAATTTGATATATTTACAGGTGCTGATGTGGTTTTATGATGTTAATCTCTTGCCTGAAACTCAGTATGTAGATGAAGAAGAAGAAGAAGAAGGAGAAATAGCACCAACAAATCTAAATATCCCGTATCCAAAGCAAAAACTTGTTGAATGGTACAAAAAGAAAAGAAGTTCTTATTCCAGTGGAGACAAGAAAGACGAAGATTGTTTGTTTATTGATCATTTGATATCTCATGAATGTTTGCCATTAAGATTGCAGTGGGAACGCGAGAGTATTGAGGAATCTCCAAATGCTGGTAGTGGATATTATCCTCCACCATCACTCCAATCATTGTTGAGAATTTTCTTGACCGATTGCCATCGTGAAGACCCCGCTTCAATTACAGTTACATCTGAAGATCATGAACAAGGCGAGCAAGAAGATGAAATGATAATTGAAGGAGATTCAGCAGAAATTGATAGTAAACATAGTGTTACAATATATTTACTTATGGATTTAGCAATGCTTCTTCAAGGCACATACCCTAGTATCGACCGATTAATTAAATATCCTTCAGCATTTAAATTGAGCCCAAGTTTGATTAAATTAACCCAAGCATTTTGGTTGTTAGATCATGATGATTTTGAAGGATTTTTTAAAATTGTTACCGGCCAATTAATAAGTACTACCGATTTGAAAGAGTGGCATCATAAACTGGCTGTTAAAACACTTTTAAAAAATGACCAACACAAATTAGGTAAGTACAAAATATGATTACTCATTTTCATGGTAATAATGCGTAATTTTTTTGCAGCTCTTGTATATCTACGCATTTTAAAGCCACCTTTATCGTCATTAGAAGATCAAGGTACTTTAATTAGTCTTACAGTTGGTCAAGGATTAGTAGAATCAGCGTTTCACTCTCGACCACCGTCTCACTATGCACAACTGCTAACTTGTTTCTTTCAAAGCTGTCAAATGAATGGCAAACTGAAGGAAGTTCTCCAGCTTGCTCTTGATAGCGAAGAAGAGGAAGCTTTTATCAAGTTTCTTAAAAAAACGGGGAACGAAGATGCTAGATTGTTTTATTATTTGCAGAGAGGAAGGCATACCGAAGCTAGTGATATTTATGGTCCAAACGCTAAATACACTACTAACAAACCTATCATTCATCCTCTTTCAATGAAAATGCTTGGGGCTTTTAATGCAACTCTACCAACAACAACGCGTCAATTTGCAAGCACTTTGACGAGAATTAATGTTAACCCACCAAAGATCTTACTAGATTTGAACAATCGCAGTTATCCACGCCCGATGTCTCAATGTCGAGACAAAACCCGGGAGATTCACGAAATTGCTTTCACTAAAACTCGTGAAACATGCTTGAAAAGTGAGAAATTAATTCACGGTTCTGGGCATATACCATTTTTAAATGCACCTGCATCAACAGTTGTCTTTTGTTCAAGAACTGCTGTTAATCAAAATGACATGAGCATTTCTAATAAAATATGTTTTGCAAGTAAAAAAGGCAAAGGTAAACGAACGTTGCACATGTTAGAAGACGAAGAAATTTTAGAATCGGGTGTCTCGGAAAGAAAAAAGCAGAAACTAAGCGGTAAGTTGTTAAATTAATGAAATTAAATGAAAATTGCTATCACTAATCTTTAATATTTAATGAGTTTAGGTAAAGGTAAACCAACCTACGACCGATCGCGTCGCCTAAGTATGAGTCAAGTCTGTGATACACCTTTGGTACAACGTAAATTAGCTCAAGATGTATGTAAGACTGGTAGTCTAGCTACTGAAACACCTCAATCTATTCTGAAAATTCGTCAAATGCTGAGAAACTCGAATTCTCCTGCTTTTGGAAGTTGGAATGTGGGTTTATAAGGCATCAAAAAAAGTCATCTATATTTGGAAGTTTCATTTACTTTTTTTTTATTCAGGGTTCGGGAGAACGTTCTATGCGCAAAACACCAGTTTCTAACATTCGGTCTGCCAGGCAAATTCGCTTCAGTATAGATAGGACGCACAATGGAAATGATTCTTCACTTATGGACGTCGAAGACAATGGTGTTACGGATTATAATGAAGATAATATGGGCCAACGACCAACCAGTGTCGCTAATGACTCCAAGAACACGGAAGCATCTGGGTGAGTTCCGATTTTTTTAGTTTATCGTAAAAGTATAATAAAAATGAGCATCTTAATTACTAGTAATATACATAATAAAGTGAAAACAATATATTGTCAAAATTGTGCCGAATATAAAACTAATCCTGTTTATCGAATTTTCTTTAACCATGTAAAAAATGTGACTTTAATTAGTATTAATGATATATTCATGAGTTAAAAATCATGAATTTTTAAAATATTTGTTTATTATTTAAAATTTAACATTATAAAATTAAAATTTAACATTATAAAATAATTTACGCTATAATTTTTCATAATCAATTTTAAACGATTTAGTCATTTTGATGCGCATTGTTTATTATTTCATTCTTTTAATAATGGTTACATTGAAAAAATCGTGGTTCTCACTAGCTGTCTAAATTAATACTACTACTTCGAGTATCTGTATTGATGTATTAACCTCCATAGAGCAGTTAATAGAGTGCCGGTTTTACACGCGGAGGACGCTAGTTCGAATCTCCCTCGTCACGCATGTTCGTTCACTAATATAAGTGGAGACTTTTTTCTCCATGTATTTAATAAATAAAATGTTTATCATGAATAAAAATAGATAAATTATTCATTTACTCTTGCACGCTCCTTAGATCCATCTCTGATTATCATAAGAGATGCTTGAGTCATAAGTGTGCTAGAATACGCAATACCTTCTCTTTAATCCCAATTCTTCGATTTTAATCATGTCGGTCGAAGGTAAGGGTTATCGAGTGGACAGTTAATATTTTTTATTAAATAATATATAAGTATAATTTTTAATACCAGTTTTATGAAAATGATAATGTTAGGTATTGTTTTAATGTGTGGTATTTCATTATTAATTCCAGAGCGAATGAAAGTTATCACAGTTTGTGTGAAGGCAGTGCAATTTTAAGTGATAACAGTTACACCAAATCTTTCCACGGTCCAAAACCAAGACCTAGCTACAGACGCAGCAGTACTGCATCCCGGGGATCTAGTACTTATCTCTCACAAAAATCATCGACAAGTGTTGATACTACTCTTGATGGCTCTGTTTTTGTAAGTAATTTTTTATTACTAGTTAAATTTATTTGTTTAGATTTAGTCACATTTTTATGAATAAAATGTACCTACAATGTACACATTTAAAATTTATTTGTAATTAGGATGCTTCATTGGCGATCAAACCCCAAAGCACTGCTAATTTGAGTCCTCGTAAATCTATTGTTTCTGGAACAACTTACAATGAATCAATCCTTTCGGAAAACACTAGCTATGTTGATTCTTCAATCGAAAATTATTTTGCACCACCACGTCGTCGCGACGAAGAAAGTACTGCATCAGAAATTGATGAAGAAGAAGATGAAGAAGGTGTTGATGAAATTAATACAGAAATTATAGCAAAAATTACCGATACTGGAGTCGATTTTGACTCATCAATAAAACCTAGTGATGTTGACTACGAGCTCAAAATCAGTTCACAAGATGAAGATGAAGAGATGCCCGATGAACCCATGGAAATTCAGGTAAAATTAGTTACTTTTTATTTTATACTTAACTTTTATTAAGAATAATATTTATGACAAAATATTTTTAAAGTTTGAAGATGATGAAGCTATCAACACGTCTGTCCCACAATCTCAAGAAAATGAAAGTAGCGGGATAGATGCTTCTGGTCCATCACCCGCAAAAATGATGAAAGTTGTGACTTCATCTCCAGAATCTTTCAAACAGTCTCAAAAAAATCAATATGACACTGAGAAAGAATTGCCTCGCAAGTCTGAAGAATCTTTTCAAAGTATCAAAGAATTTGACTATCAATTTTCAAATCCAACTTCAGTTATACGTACAGATAAAATCAGAAAATCTATGGGTAATCAATCAAATATTTCTACTGATGGTGAAATTGAAAATTATACTCTAACAAAGCCAATATTTTTGAATGAATGTGGTATTGTAAAGTGTAATGAACAATTAACAGATGATGAATCCAACGATGACGACGTTGATGAAGTAAATATAAAAGTCAACCGAAATGATGACGATGGAGAAGAATCTGAACTAACTTTAAACTTGTCAAGTTCAGATGGATCTGGTACTGAAAAAAAGAGATTGAATTACATTCTTAATCAGCGAAATGACGAGGAAGAAAGTGGCTTGGGAAAAGAGACTTCATCTTTAGTTGAGAGACTAGCAAAATCTAAAGATTCTGAACATCCAGCAGAGCCTATCGCCGATGAGAGCAAAAAGGTAAGAATCGATAGTTAAAATATAATGCGCGTTAAGTAATACATTAAAAATGATTATTAATTACTAGGTAACTTTGTCGCGACATTCCTCTGTATCTTCTTTATCAAGTAAAAGTGAGGATATTGCTGATGAAGGCACACCACTTAGAAGAAGCGCACGGCGTCATGCATCTACTAGAAGTCAAGAATCGACTCCGACTAAGTCAAAAATATCTAATAACCCAACTACTGCAAAAATGCTGTCTGAAGTTACAAACATTAGTCCTAAAAGTAAGTTAGACCTTATTCAATCGCTTCTTAAATTTACATGTAAAGAATAAAATGATAATTATAATTTTTCTAGAGCAAATCATTACAGATCTCACAGAAAAATTAACATCACCCGTGAAAATCGTAAGTAAAGCACAACAATCAATTGAAGTAAATGAATCGCCTTCTTCAACAGAAGAAGTTGATGTTTCTTTGCCCGTGGAAAAAATTACTCAGAAACGAGCAACGAGAGCATCGTCACGAAAACCTCAAGAGTCACCTAAAATTGAAAAGGCAAAGAAACCTACAAGAAAAACTAGAGCAACATCAGTTGTTGAGGGAGGAAATGATGAAATTACAAAAGAGAAAATTGTTGTACAAGACGATACAACTATAATTGATAAAAATCAAGGATTGAAATTAGAAACTTCAGTAGCTCCAAAAAAGAAATCGAGTAGATTACCCAAAACAAAGAAAGAAGAACAAAAATCTGATGAAAGTACTTTAATTGAAGATAAAGTAGAAACGAAAAAGAGTAGAACAAGAGCGACAAAACTTACTAAGGATACAAGTAGTGATAAAAAAGAGGTATGTTTATTCCTAATTGAATAATTTTTAAAATATAAAAGCTATATAAAAAGTACTGAAACATTTAATTTTATTAATGTTTCTGGATGGATTTAGGAAAAACTAGAAGAAAGTGATGACGAAGAACATGAAGATGTATTGCCGAAAACTCGTTCAACACGCGCTTCTCACGATAAAGATGCAGCAGCCAAACCATCTAGTAGGAAAGGAAGAACAGGTTCAGTGGCCAAAGAAATTGTAGAAGATGTGCAACCAACGAGGCGGACGCGTGCCACTTCAGTTGTTAAGGATGAAATTAGTGAACAACAGTCTAATGTAATCACGAAAAAACGAACTCGTGCGGCTAGCATTGCTAAAGAAGTTTCAGAAGATAAAAGTAAAATTAAAAAATCAACTCGAGCAACATCTTTGAATAAAGAAATTAGCCAAATAAATGAAACTCAAAAAAATACAAGAACGAGAGGACAATCACTCCCTAAAGATATAGTTCAACCTCAAGGTAAGATAATCAATTATTGGTATTATACAAACATTTTAAATAAATGCCAAAAATTTAATGCGAATTTATTCTGTAGAAATACTAAAATTAACATCGCGAAATCGACGGTCAACGAGTCTTTTAAAAGAAGTGATTTTAGAAGAATCTATTTCTCAACTTAATTCACCAGTCAGCAATAAACGTAACCGCATTGCACGTCTACCCATTGAAGAAACTACTTCAGTCACATCATCTCCTGCAGGAAATACACGTAGTCGTCGTTCATCGATACAATCTGTAACTGAAGATGTTGACGAAAATTTAGCAAAATCAACGAAAACTAATGAGTCTAAAGAAGAACCACGTTTACGTCGTGCTGTAAGTGTAGATTCGAGCATTGTTGTGCCAACGGGAAAAAGATTGACCAGAGGGGCCCTGGCAAAAACATCAATTATTGAAGATGTTATACCAGAAGAAACTGAATTAGGCAAAAAAGTAGTGCCTTCTAGAAAGAAACGTGCTGCTTCTGTATCAACTGACAAAGTTACTGACGAGATAGGAAAAGCTAAAATAATTAAAAAACAAACAGAAGTGCGTAAAACTAAACGAGGAAGAAAAAACAGCGAAAGTAAAGATTTTGAATTCTCACTACCTGAACATACTGATGGATTAACGAATGATTCTGACAGTAAGTATATTTAGAAATAATATCCGAGTATAGACTGAACATCGGTATTTTAAATTACTTAATTAAATTTAATTCTGGCTTTGAAATTTTTGGACACATTATTTTTTATTCGTTTAACTTGGTGATTTCTTATATAGATGTTTGGCAAGGACGTCTTCGTGTTCGTGTTCGTAAAAATGCGGAGATTGTTTAATACAAAAATAAAATCGGTTCCTTGATCGCGACCATTATCAAGTTGTTTACCCTTTAAAAATGTTGTTATTTTATAATTTAATTTCTTACTAAATGAGTTACTTATTAATTTTGTTTCAGATGAGTGTCGTACTCCTAAATTCAAATTTTCAGAACCTGCTGGGTTTCAGAAGTAAGTTTGTTTTTAATATAAATGTCTTAAACTGATTACTAACCATCGATGGAGTTTCGTTAAAATACTAATGGTGTCATCATTTCTAACCAACCAACCACGCACTAACCAACGTTCAACAAAGACCACAAAAAGTCGAAACTAATTATAATTTATTTTTTTAACTTTTGCGTTATAAATTGTACAGATTTCTTTCGCCGATTCGCGATGAAGAGGACGAGTCATCCGAAGAAGTGACAGAAAATAGTGCATTATTGGAACGCGACGCTAAATCAGAAACTGCACGTACGACAAGAGCAAAGGGGCGAATAACACGCGCTCAAAAAACCAAAGGACACAGCCAGTAACAGCAAAATCTTGTTTGAGTAAAAGTTGACTCGGAAGCGCGTTAAATTATGCGGCGTTTTTTGATAAAATATTATGTAGTATATTAATTCTGTGAGAAAAATTGTTCATTGTTTTCGATTGCATATTTTTTATTCCTCTAATCTTTATTAGACTACTCTTTGTTGTTAATAAAATAATGAAAGTGAACGTAGCCTTTTAGCACAAACAAACTTTTCAAAAAGTGTATAATAATGTTGTAAATAATTTATTGATGCATCATGTCCATTCAATAAAAAAGGTAAAAGGGTAAAAGTCTATCATAACTTACTCTTAAATATTGGATTAATCCAGGTCCTTGCAATTTTTGTTAATTAAATTAAATTGAAAGGTTTATAAAATGCAAAATAAGTGGAAACTTACTTAGTATACATTATCGGAATGTAATGATCTTTATTTAAATTTGTTTATTATATAAATATACAAATATTAAACTTAGAACATTTGCATTTTAAATACATACTGATAATTAATACTAATCACTTTTCTAGTAATCCACATCCTGGAACGTAATATTAATAAGTTGAAGTGTTCTCTGCGTGTACTTCGAATTTTTTTAATATTAATTTAGTAGAAATCAAATTTGGGAACAATCCCTGCCTTTCATTTGGATAGATAAGATAATATTTTAATCGAGTATATTTTAGGCATTTTCAAATGATGTATAATTGAAATTCATCAAGTTAACATTTGCAAACTAAAATCATTGTTGAAAGAGGAAGTAATATTTTTACAATAAAATGTTTATTTTTATTTATAAAAATCAAGGCACGTTGGTGATATTTCGTGCTTTGTTTGTAAAAGGCACTGCTTTAGTTTTTCAATAGCAAGTTTTTTCCAATCATCCAATGGCTATAAACGGAAATGCTCACTATCATAATATACTCGGTAAAAATACAATTTAGATTTAAGGTCGGTGTATACATTGTAAAATTGTAAGTACTTATAACTAGAATACAACATGTAAAGAGATTAAATTGTGTCTTTCATTTTCTTTAGAAACTCAGACGATCAATTGTCATTCCGAGCTTAATTGAATCATGCAAAGTCGATTTATTAATTTGGGATTTTACAGTTGATTCAATATAATAACAGTTGATTTATACAGACAAACCATTTGTACCAATAGGTAATAAAACAATCGAAATCACATAATTTTTTTTAATGTTTAAGTTTTTTTTGGATCAAATTTTATCACGATTTTTATTGAACATTTGAAGTAATGAGTAAAACCTATGACATACTCGATATGTTACACTTACAAAAATTTTTTGATAATCATCTAACATTTTCCATGATTCAATTAAAGCACTGCTTAGTTTAATTGGACATTGTATAAAAATGTTTAACGAATTATATTAACGATAAATCTCAATAGATGACAACCCGGACATAATACTTTATTCTAGTAAAGTCATGACGATTTGATATATCTTAGATACTCTTAGTAAAAAAATCAATTTCTGTATGATTCGATAATATCTATTTCACTGCTGTCTACAGCTGTCCTTCACGCGACGTTTATGCCTTTCTTCTTGAGTCTGTGAAGGTGAATAATTCGGAAGCCCTATTAAAGAAAAGAATAGCGTTATTATTTAAAAAAAATAAAAGGATTAGAATAATAATCCCTTTCTAGCACATTCGAATTTTGTTCAAATTAACTAGAATTTTGAAAGAAGTAATACGAGGGCATTCATCGTAAACCCACCGGAATAATTAGTACGGCGGGTCCCTGGTACAGGCATATAACAAGCTGCTGAAATCGGTTCATCGACAGATTCTAAGGTAGTGTCTCTCATGTACGTCGGACTTACAGCCCCGGAACCCCCGCTCGATGCTGTAGATGTTATTGCGCCGTTGTATGTTGGATCGATCATAGCGGCCACGTTTCGTTGAGTCAATGTTGAGGACGAAATTGATTCGATTTCGTCACCCGATTCGGGATAACTGCGGATCTCTTCGGGATCGGATGTCTGTCGACTATGATGTGACATGGATGATCGACTTTTTGCTGTTTAAAAAAACATTGTAATTGGTAAAAAATATTTGATTTCATAATAAATCATGTTCTTTTTAAATGCAATAGGTAAGGTATAATTCTGCAGAATAGGAAATTGACAATACATTTGTAAATATATTTCCGCGTATTTAAAAATACTGGGAAAAATTTAAGTGGTTTCATTTTTTATGAGAGGCGTCGATACGGACTATACAATGAAATATTATAATTGTAAACATCGTAAATCAAAATCGCGAGATTATTTGTATTTTATTTTTCGAATTTTCATGTAAGAGTAAACGTTTCTCGATCATAAAATTGTATTATTACTCACGCGATACACTCGATCTTATTTCAAGTTTATCTGGTCTTGGTGGTCTCTCGAGACTTCCACTTGCGACCGACGATTGCTCCTCTTCCAATTGTTGTTGCTGTTGTCGCTCCAACTTTTTTTGCTTCGCCCTTTCTCGAGCTCTTTTTGCTTTAGCTCGTTCTTTTTCTTGTAACATTCTTGCAAGCTCGGCATCTTGAGCTTCCATTGCTATTTTGTGATCTATTAATAATTGCTCGTTCATCACTGGTCCATCGTGAGAATCAGTATTTACTTTTTCTTCTTCTTGAAGTTTACGCGCTAATTCCTGATGATGAAAAACATTAAAAATCAGTTTATTTTTAGTTGCGTTAAGTTGAAAAATAAACATTAATCGGAAATTTGATGTTACCTGATCCTTTTCTTCTTGGATACGCCTCTCGATTTCTCGCTCGGCTTCTAATCTTGCCGCTTCGTCGTCGAGTCGAAGCTGCATTCTCATTTGTTCTCTTAATTCTCGCTCCCTCATTCGTTCTTCTCTTTCTAATGATAAGGCTATTTGGCGTGCGATTAAGGCATCTCGTTCTTCTCTGTAAGCGAATTTTCGAAATCAATAAGAAGATGATTTCAAATTTTACAGTTTCCACTACAGATTCAAAAACTTACTGTTCTTGTACAATAGATTGATATCTTAATTTTTCTAATTCTTGTTCAATTCTAGCTTTGGGAAGATCTTCTCTCACCTGGGCATTGCGAACTTTGTTGTGTGTGTAATGTTCTTTAACTGCAAGAAATTAAATTGATCATAATTAAAACATTTGAATGTAATTATAAAATCAATACAAAAAAAAAAAACTATTTACATAGTAATTAAATCAATCAAATTCAATTGTGAAAAATAAATAATAACAATAATTTTTAATTTTCTTTTAAGAATTGCTATAATTAAAGTATAAAAGTAAACTCACTTTCTTCATCTTGTAGACGATAGGCCAATGCTCCATCCTCATGTACCAACCACTCCCTACACACTATATTAAAGTTAATTATTAGTGAGAATGACCATATTTTTACACTAATAAGAAAACAACAAAAAAGTTAGATTCAATGAATAACATAAGAGAAAGTCTTCCAGTTCAAATTAAATGAGTTTATCTTATAATAAAGAATTTAATTTAAAAATAATTTATGGCATGTAGATCCATGAATTTAAGAAATCCATATTTAATTAAAAAATTAATTTTTCACAGAATTAAGTTTTAAATCGGTACAAGAATTGTCTGAACTGCAAAGTACAAGTTTAATAATATTCACACCGTGTAATATAAAATTCTTATGGCAAGGAATTACGCGAGTCACGCAATGAAAATAAATTTAAATTTCTTTCCGACCATATATTTTTACCATACATTTTTGCTCTGTAATAACGACTTTAAAATATAGTCTTGAAGAAAAAATTGAGAAAACTTTGGTGCATTATCTAGTGCGCCAAGTCGTAAAAGAGTCGATAAAAAATTGTGACTTTCGCCGGAATCGTCTTACAATAGTCAAGCACTAGTGAGTAATGTTGACACTTGACGAGGCCGCAGTCGTCGAAATTTAAATACCTTAAACGCAACTGAAATCCTTCGGCATAAAATAAAATAAAGTATCAGATGGAATTTGAATAAACAAAGGAAAAAGACGTTGCGTAAAAATATCGTAAGTTACGGAAACAGAAGCGAGCGAGAATGAAAAAAAAAACAACAGGATCTCAATTTTCAGTTGTCAGGCACGATGAAAACATGTCACACACTCAATGTATCAGAGCGTAAAAAGAAACAAAGACTTTCACTGTATGTTGAGGTAAAAACTGCACAAGGATAAAGTCGCGCACGGCACAAACCTTCGTTGACACGGCCAGCCTTCGGCATGGTGTCCGAGCCCAGCACCGATTTAGCCATTATTAAGACTATTTAATGTACACAACTTTATTAAAAAAAATAGTAGAAAAAGGAGTCGTCGTCTCAGCACGTCGCCGTGACAGCAGGCGACTCCATTTGGCGTGGGAGCCACAATACTACTAACATAGTAGAGTCAAGCTGCGCGAGGCTGCAGCAGCGGCCAGCCAGTGGCAGGCGCTGTAGTTGCTGCTTATATTGTGCTCGCTGGTAGTAGTGGCAGCGCAAAGCAATAATAAGCAGTACAGGCGCATTCTGCCATCTTGGAATGCCGATATCGTCTTAGTGTTGTGTCGGTGTGGCCGCATACATTTCCCTTCTCTCTCTCTTTCTACTCTATAAAGGTTCACTCTTATTTCCCCTCCCATTGCACTTATGGCATTACATTATGTATAGGAACTGAATACTCGTATTATGTTGCAATGGTATGTACGCGCTGCGTACACTATATCTATACCTATATATAATATCAAAGTCTCACATTTATGCGAGCCATAACGCGCGTATACACCCGTAGATAACTTTTTACATTTAATTCTCCATTAGTTTAATCGTATTATAACGTAACTTATTAAGTAATACATTTTTCCGATACCAAATATGTCAGTACGTCCAAAAATTGAAATTAGGCTTAGAAATATTTGTGACTAAAATTATGAGTTAATTGCGCTTGCATTGAAATATTTCACACTTTTCTCCTACATTTCTTATTCGATACTTATGAGCTCGAAATATTTTTTCCGGACACAATTTGCTTTAATTGATACCGCTCATTAGATCTTGACTGAGGCTAGTAAAAAATTTGTTCACTGTAAATTCTATCCTAATGTCAAAAAAGATTTCAGGCGAAATTTCTTTGTTTTTTCACTCCGATCGTTATGGAGAAACACTGTCTAGACAAGTGTTCTATAGAAATGGCTGGAAAAGTATTCAAAAATGTTGCACTGTAATCATTGTAAATATAAATTTATAGACTCGTTCTTGGCGGTGTATATTAAAATAAAGTCGACTCATTTCGATCGAAAGCTTAATTATTATGCCGTACATTAATGATGATGCTAGTCTATAGTGTTTACGCGTGTAAAAAACATTTTATCAGTGTTAAAAATGGCTAATTTACATATTTTTCAAATAATTTGACTTTTTATCTCTTGCGGGGACATGTTTTCGACTCGAAATGTCAGCTATTCGATGTTAACAGAATCGAAGCGCAATGTCATCGAGTAAAGTTTAAAAAAATACGGTTCAAAATAATAAAAATAATAGGTACGAGGAAGTCAATAGAGCAGGTAGAGGTTGATCTGTTGCCATGGCAAAAACTTGTACATCAAAGTTCATTCGCACGTTTTAATGACTTGACGGCGGAAATCCAGGGTATACATATTATATTGTATATGTATACCTACAACTACTGCTCGGAGGTCTGGTATGTGTGATACACATCACATATAACGCTAAGTATGAGAAAATACAAAATCTTTATTGTATCCTTTTATTCACTTACCGCACTACATTCCGAAACTTGCAGATCGTGCGATTTTGCGGCTTTAGGCATTAGTGTTGGTGTTACTCGTTGACATCATCACCAACGAAATTAGTATATCTGTATTAGCTTACAAAGATCGTCAAAACACACATTCAAAAATGTGAAACGATGACGAATTCACCCGCATATCAATAAAAACTTTTCGAGTAATTTGGGCAATTAACATCGTTTAATTATTTCATTAATTAATCTAATCTATTATAAAAAAAATATAAATGAGGTTTACTTATGAAATTTCATTTCATACAATTGATTTTTTTTGTTCGAAAGAACCACACATACTGCCATGGTTTGTTTTCATCATTTGGTCCTAAGATGAATACACAATTTTAAACTATAAATACACGTATATATATAAAATAAATTTTACATAACATGAATGAATTATCTTGATGAGAATGAATTTGATTTGTTACAAATTTACACAATTTCTCAATTGGAATTATTTTCTAAATGACAATGAAATTGACATCAACCTTGTGCAATTTTACGATCCTTTATCGACATTAGGACTTTTGCTTCAGTTGAAAATGTTGTATCTTCGCTTGCATATCTTTAAAATCGTCCTTATCGATGACATTGGTAAAAAGTATGTTAGCCATAATTTGCACGTCGACGGCGCTCATGTCGATGAGGGCCGCCAGTTTCGCGGCGCAGCCCATCACGACGTTCTTCTTGAGGTAAAAGAAAAAGTTGGAACAGACGACGACGGCAGCGGCTATGAAGCCGGCGTTCACCTCGTACTTGAGAAAATCTCGGCTGTCCTTGTGCGAGCGATCGTAGGGTTTGCCCCGGGCCAGCAGGTGCAGCTCGGCGAATATCTCGTTGTGCCGGAGATAGGCCACGTCGAGGAGCACCAGACACGTCTCCCGCAGCTCGGGCGTCACGGGCAGCTCCGAGTAGGCGAGAAACAGCTGGACCGCGTCGATGGGCAGACTGTAGGGTATCCTGAAGTCCAGGGTCTTGAGGATGCGCTGCTCCGAGGCGAAGACGATGGCGCGGGTGTACTCGCGGCTCGGGTCGACCGATTGCAGTATGTCGCGTACCTGCGCGAGTGATCCATTTATCAAGTGATTTTCCTGCTGCGCAGTTTTCACAGGCCAAAAGAAAAAACAAAGAGAGACTTTACCATGGGTATGCCGAGGCCCGTGGAAAAGAGGGCGACTTTGCTCGCGATTTGCAGGCAGGAAACCAGCACGAGTTTTATCTGCGAGAACATTTCGGATCTCGCGCGCCGTAGAGTCGATTCCGTGATTTCCGAGTCAGCGATGAGTTCCCAGAAGAAGAGGCCGAGGTATCTGTCGAGCAGGTGGACCGCCATATACTTGGCGTGTGGCTCTATTTCGAAGCGCGAAGCCATGGAGAATATTGCACTTATCATTTCGGTCTGCACGCCTGCAATGACAATTTCAGTGAAAATCAGTATACGCCGTGCCTATTTCACTGCTGGGAGAATTTTACGTTTAACGAGTTAATTATCTTGGCAAAAGAAATTACAATTTTCATTTTCCATACAATCTTTTGTCAAAAAAAAAATTATTTTTGTAAAGACTCGTAAAAAATGATAATTCAGAATGTTGATTAATAAGTTTGTATGAATAATTAACTTTCGTGAATTGAAAATCATGCATTTTTGTCGCAAAAATTTTTAAATTGTTAAACTTAAAACAGGTTCTTAAAAGAAAGAAAAAAGTCAGCAAATTTCAATGTACGCTTATTCACGTAGAACTAATAACGAGAATTCGAACAAAGGTTTTCAAAAACGAATGAGTTCAATATAAAAACCGTTAATCAGTGAGAGAGTGAAAAAAATCGTTCTGTTACACTAGCTACTTGCCTGCATAGGGGATGCGAAATTCGTCGCCGTTGTCGATCTTTTGCTGCTCGGCTTCGTCGCTTTCACGCGCGTACTTCAACCAATCTTTGAGGTATGGCTCTAGTGATCACAGAAATTTGTACGTTTCATAAACGTTTATAGTACATACATATACGCCCAATGTATCGGGTGAACGACCGACGATCAAAACAAAACATTTAAATGCTAATGTAAGAAAAGTTGCAAAAAAGCTCACCGATGTAAGAACTGTCCCAGCAATTTCTTTCCATAATACGTCGCATTTACCAATTCGTAAGGTGCGCTGACTTTGGCCAACGATTGCACACGCGCGCTCCTTTTTGTCGATCTACCCAATTGCAGCGAATTATTGAAACGGTAAATATTGCACCTCGATACTTGTTATAATGTTTGTTTACCTTTTCTTTGTTTTGACTTTTTTCTTAGCCAAAATGCAGTATTTCGACTTGCCGAACACACGCGAATACCTATGCGATCACACTCTTTGACACGACAACAACACGCGCTAATGCAAAAACGTCGCGGACGCACCGACGCATCTACCTTTCGATTCCATAAGTTACTCACACTTCGACAGAGACAATCGGAGCAATTATTTTCTGTCGTCGACTCACTCTGTAACACAACGCATCGGCCGCTAAATATTACTCGCTCAAGCCTCGTGCTAAGCTGGTTGCCACTAGCCGCGTGCGACTATGTTTTTGTATTCCCAATTCCCATCTTACTTTGTAGTGGTGTTGTGTACAGATTTTCGCGCAAGCGCAGAGCTTCGTCGGTCCAGCAGACGACGTTTTGTGTCCAGACGCCACACTGCGAGCACACGCTCGATGCGGCTCGCAATTTTTGGCTTTATTGCTTGTGCTACTGCATGTGACTGTGACGACTTGCGCCTGCTAGTGCAATGCTTGCTGACATAAAGAACTATCAGTAAATAACAAGATTCGAAGCTTTCCTCGAAAATCTCATGTGTTCTTGGATATACCGTCGTTGCGAGTGCCCAAGTGAAAAAGAGTCGAGTTTTGTACATGACATCAAACGACAATTGCGAACTCGCTTTTGAGACATTGACATTTTGAAGAGGTCTTTTTTAGCGTGTTTCTAACCTACGGAATACCGACAATTAGTCGATTTACCGTTTAAATTTAACCAAAATGTTTAAATTACTCACGCGTTCGTGTGTTTCGTTACCTCAAAAGTGTTTGAGAAACCTGCCGGTACAGGTAAATTTTATGAATCACGTAAAAAACTACAACACTTCTGTCATTTTTAAATGAATTTCTGGGTTTTTTTTGCAGAAACGAAATATAAACACATCTTTCAAATTACTCGGAGAACTAAATCCAAAGAAACCCGAGACTATCAAGAAAAAATCGCCCATTACATGGCTTACCGTCGCAGTTACAGGTGTTTTTGGAGCTGGTTTTATTGCTTTTATGTTACATTTGAGAGATGAAAAAGATCGGCAACTTGCTAAAGAACGCAAACGTCAATTGGGTAAGGCTGCTATTGGTGGAAAATTTGAGCTAGTGGATCCTCAAGGAAAATTAGTCAAATCTGATGATTTTCTTGGCAAGTGGGTTATGATTTATTTTGGCTTTACTCATTGTCCGGATATATGTCCAGATGAACTTGAAAAATTATCTCTTGCATCTAAGATACTTGGTAAGAAGTTATTTAATCAATAGGTCTAGAGAATTTTCAATCATCAATTAATTCTTTATATTTTTATCTATAGAGGAAGAGTATCATATTGATGTTCAGCCCATATTTATCACAGTTGATCCAACTAGAGATACACCCGAAGCTGTTGGTAAATATGTAAAAGAATTCTCCAACAAAATTATTGGACTGGCTGGCTCAGTTGAACAAATAGCTAAAGCTTGTAAAGCTTACAGAGTTTACTTTAGCAATGGACCTGCTGATGATGATAATGATTACATTGTAAGTTTATTTATTACCTGATTATTTTTAAAAATTTTACTATAATTTTTTAAATAATTTTATTTTATTTATCTATATTTCATTTTTTTAGGTCGATCACACAATTATAATTTATCTAGTAGATCCAGAGGGTGGATTTGTAGACTACTATGGCCAAACTCATGATGCTCATAAAATTGTAGATAGTGTTGTGTTGAACAAAGCCAAGTATGATAGATTAAATAGAAGTGAATGGTTTCCATCGCTTGAGTTCAATAAAATCACACAAAGGTCGTAGTAACTTTTGAAGGTTGAAAAATGATGTTTTTTTTTAAACAAATTTGAAACTGAACATTAATGTTTTTAGAATCAATTTTCATGTACATATTATAAAGTGATCTTATTATAAAATAATTATTTGCTAATAAATGTAGTTTACAGTGTTATTTCATTGTCCATTATTTCTTGAAAATTCTGTTATGGTTAACTATGTCAAAGGAAACACACATCCATCCTAATCTTTTTATTATTTTTTTATTTTCAACAATTACAAAAATCTTTTACATAAAATGCCATGAATATATATACTCAAAATCGAGTACTAAAGTTTATACATTTTTATGTGTTATATCATTGCAAAAATCATGAATTATTATATCTAGAATATATACATTTTTAACTGAATGAAGTGAAAAAAAACCATCGCGATTGTTATTAATGATCATGAGGATTTTGACCAGACTTAAAATCAAAACAATAAATTCACATGAATTTGAGATTAAAATTAATACAAATCAATGATAGTTTTATAAATTAAAATTTTGATATGTTGTTAAAGTGATAGTCTTTTTTTACTAAAAACTTTTCTTTTAAATGATATTTACTAATCTGTATATTTATAAACGATTTTTTTACGAATTTTGATATTAAATACATTGTTATTTATCGAATGATTTATCTAATGATCCATGTTGTAATAGAATCCATCAATCAATTTTATTATTTTTAAACAAAATATATACCATTTTAAATATTGAATATGATATTCAATATAAATAAATGGAGGATTAAAAAATAGACTTACTTTAAATGGCAAGTAATAAACTAAGAATGACTTTAATAAATTTGAATATCCGACTGAAACCTGTAGCTACTATTATTTTAGCTAAAATGAAAGATCATAAGATCATAATATCAATGAAAAAATTGAATTATAGATTAGTAAACAAAAATTATGTTGCAATCGTCACTAAAATGTTATGCAACTCGTTTTGATATTAACGTTAAATTATTAACGTTCAAATTTGTACAAAGTTTACTTTCGTTTTGTAGTAATATTGGTTACTAATAATCCTGATTGAATAAAATCTATTCAAAGACAATAACTGCTTTAAAAAACAACTGAGACTATCAATGCCGATATTAAATTTATAAATGAATCATGCTTTAACATAATATATTTAAACGTAATTGTGTTTAAAAGTAATCATACCAAGGTAGATTGTTAGATCTATCTCGGTAAACTCTTTTCAATTTCTATAAAATTACTTTTTAATCACAAAAATATTTTACAAAATTTTTTCGTATTATAAACTAAATTAGAGTTTTGAATTTTAACTAATTTAAAACTACATAAAAATACAACTTCACTTGTTCTCTAAATTTGTTGTAATAAAACATATTAATTATAAAAATAATAATATTTAACCGGTGGTTTATCGTTGACTATTATAAACTTCCTAAAGTTCAATTCGGTTTGAATAATCTCTTATTTTCAAAAATATCTGCTTATAGTATTGGAAAAAATATATTTTCTTAATAAAATTTATGACTTACTTAGTTTTAACGAGAATTTTTTATGATACAATTTACAATATTATATGTAAAAATGGACTTTACATATTAACTATAAATACTTTTCAACATATATATTAGATACTTAATTTATACAGTAACATGTAATATTAATTCTTTACCTCGTTTGAATTTGAATTTATTCATTATTCTTTAATGAAAAAGGCAGATTTCAAGTTTCTCGATACTTATCGGGCATTTACAAAATATCACTTTGATAATTATTAAATTAGCTAATACGTTTTCATTAGAAAATGTTGAAAGCTCAATGGCTCAACTATGGTCAAATTAAAATGAGATCTAGGTTCGAGGCGTGATTATTATACAGCGAAGACATTCAGACATTAGTATGCTACATAGTAACGTCGTTTAGGGGGCGACTTTAATTCTTAATTCTAAGGATGAAATGTACATTTGAAAGGCTTGCCGCGAGGCCTCTGAAAAAAAAAAATAGCACAGTTGCACTGCAAAAGTTCGAGGCCAATTGCCAAGTTAAGCCTAAAACTTTTGCAACCAATTGTACAAAAGTTGGTAAATTCGATTGTATACGTGGAAAAACTTTCCCATGGTCTTTTTAATATTGTTACTTGTCATAACCGCTAACACATAGTACACACAGGATTTTTTAAAGAAACGAGCTCTTGTTAAAATTATTGTTCAATCGACGATAGAAAAATTTTAATACTTTTATAGTTTTTTAATTCAATTTCCAGTAATTAAATGAGGAATAAAAATAATTATTCTTGTTATTAATTGTATCTATAAATATAAACTCAGCTTTTAAGTAATTGAATTTATGTTCTATCGAAAACCACAGCCAAGTTTGTATGCTTGTTGCGTTACGATTCGAAATGATTATCAAAATAATGTCATCGATCGAACAATAAAAATCGAGGATTTATGCGTAAACGCTGTATTATCTCACGTCGGGGGTAGCTAATGATCGCAATCAAAAGCAAATGAAATTTTTATAAAACCTAACGACAAATATTACGATCTAAATCTTACAAATCTATACACAGATCGATAGTTGAAATGTACAAAAAGAGTGACGATGTGTATATACAATATAAGGAGCCGAAGTCGCGCCGACGATCGTACATGTGATTATAATATATCGTCTTCTATATCGTTGACAAGTTGTAAGCCTACGTTTTTATCACTATCATCACTAAGCGATCAGTCTTTTCGTTGAGAAATTGTGTTAATCGACGGCACGAGACGGCGACGACGAGGACGAGTGTTTTTCATGGATCGCACGGCTTGTGCAGACGCTGCATCTCGTATGCCAAGTGGCTGCGCTCGGAGTCGCTCCAGTTTCGCTCGTCCGAACGGAGCTCGTTAAGGCCGGTGTCTGGCATCGAGTCGCTTTGACTTCCGTGGCCAGTTTCTTCGTCGTCGCACAGCTACAAAACATTTTATACATTCATTACTTCCAAGTGCATAGCCTTGCCAAGTTTGGCTTTGAATTATCACATCAAGTGGAAAAGATAAGTCGTACTATTTTTTTGAAAATTTCATTAATCTTTTGCATTAAAGAAACGATTCCGACAAAGAAAGATAATAATTTAAAATGCTAGTATTATCGGCCAATAAAAAGCTCGTTCAAGTTCAAGCTCGTTCAGTCTCAAGTGAATTGATCAATTAAATGTTGTTCGTTTCATGATTGTAATTTGTAATTACGACGTTTAACGAGTCAAAGACAAGGATACTTTTTAAATGACTTATTAATTGTAAAGACTAGCAGTAAAGCTGAAAAATACATCACGAGAGACTGGTAAATTTAAGAGGCCGTTGAAGTTCAAGAGCTTCTCTCGAGTGCTCAAGTCAAGCGCATGTGCGGCCATCGCTCGCCCAAGAGTCCTCGAGACCTCAAGACTTGTCACTCGTAGCAGGGTCTTTACTTGAGTCAAAGAATTTCCAAGAGTCCTGTTTTTTTTCCTCGATCACTCGATAATACGACACACATACCAAACATCATACATTTATAATGTATGGATTTATAATTTGTAAAGAAACTTACTTCGGAGTAATAGGCGAGTAAATCCGTCTTGTTATCGACGTTTTTGGTAAAAAAAGCAGATGAGCTGGCAGGATGTTTGGCAAAAGCGTCGTAAAGCTGGGAAGCTTCGGAATTCGCTGAGGTGCCACAGGCCTCGTTGCCAGTTGCAGCTTCCATAGTCTCGGCCTCTGGTGCTGTGGCGTCGTGACCGCAGCCACCGTTGATGCCAACGGCAACTTCTTGGCGTTCGTTGAGACTTGTCATGCTGCAACCCCGAGTACCTCCTATGTCGATGTCTACGCGTAAACAGATAGAAAAGAAAAATGATTTAATTACGAAACTGGTTATTTAAGGGATTCAAAAATACACCTTTTACAAATGACAGTCTTCTTTTAACAATGCTGAGTAAAATTAATTTTGGGGCGCTAGTAAGAAAAATTAATTTCGAGAACAAAGAATATTTTATGAAAAATTCTAGCGTAAAAAAGATATGTTTAATCTCTGTGATTTTTTATCTTCTTTCAAGTAGCTTACTTTTACTGGTTCAGTTGCACAGATGCAGCTGTACCAGCAACTCATGCTATATTTAATGAAGGCTCCATTTTTTAAAAAGCTCTGTTCAACGACAGCTTTCAATTTAAAAAATAGAGCTTTTATTCAGTGACTCTTTTTAAACGGAGCTTGGGTTACTTGAAGCTTTTTGAAAATAGAATTTTCATTTTTTACCACAACATTTTTAATTTTTGCGATTCATCTTTTTCAGAAAAAAGGGTTTGGATAAAAACGTTTTAAACAGTAGGGTCAAAAAAACTTTTAAAACCTAAAGAAGGCGGTTTCATGCAACTTCGGAAATAAAGACTTTCCTAATGAAGGTATTGAAGATGATGGATATGAGGAACAAAATGAACGAATAATCAATATGATTGGTAAATAAATTCCTGCGATATTTTTGAAAAATATTATCGATTTTGGAAAAGTGCTGCAAAATTGATATGAAAGTAAATACCAATTCGATTGTATCAACTTCAATAATTCGATTGTATTCAACTTCATAAACGTAATTGGACAATCGTTGAACGTTAAAAAATATGCCCTTAAATTTATATGGCCTTTACTCAAACCGTTTTTCAGATATCGTTGACATTAAAAGGTGTAAAAAACAATAAAATCAAAGGAGAAAAGACTCAATTGAGCTCAGAATATAATAAAATATGTACAACGTAATTTTTGACTATCGCTGTGTTGTAGATAATGCATTAATGTACCGTATACATCAAACAAAAGACTATCGAATTATCGTCTAACTTGATGATTATCAAATGTTAAATCAAATAAGTTAATTTATAATTTCCTTTGGATAATACCTGAGACTATGTATAATGATAATAATGAGCTCCATATATCAGTGCATCATAGAATATTGGATATGTGTCATATATGATGTGCATAATAAATCTAAGACGTGCGTTAGAGGAGTAATTGCACTGTTCTCTTTAGTCTTTTGTGACGATATAGAGATAGACCGGGCGAGGGCACATTATTTGATGTTCGATATTTATGTATTAATTTCATTTCCATTCATGTATCTTTAAATCCAGGCTAGAGATGAGAGGATGGTTTATTTGCTCGACAAATGGGTGTGTTGATAATTGCAGTAATTATCGAAAGTGACGTTGCATCGGTGAACGTGAAAACGTGAATTTCCACTTAGCTTATGAACACAAAATGACGAAAGATTTAATAAACGATATGATTGCATCGACAGAGCGGACATGCAGCAATCAATCTGCCGTTGGACGTTGAACAAGGGACAATATCCATTAAAAAGTGTAAAGTGGATCGTTGATGTGTAGCAGGTTTAGAAAGAATAAAGACACATGTTATCGACGATGTTTACTTACACGAACGTGTACAACGGGTACTTGAGCGTACAGGTGATTTTCGCCTGCGAATGTAATCGTACGTGTATGAGTTATATTTCACAGATGCGAAGAACGAGCGATTCCCTACATATAAATGTGCGCGCAAATCGCTCGCCGTATAATATAATCGGGGTCGTTACATAAGCGGCTTACACGCACGCACACACACACTCACATATGGCACACACGCACGCACAGCTACTGCGGCTTATAGCACTCGCGCTCGCCTCATTCGACTCACCCTGTGTGCAATAATCCAGCGAGTTGTGCGATCGATGGAGGCCGAAGCACTCGGTCCAGCAGTTCCTGCAGTAGTGCAGCGGCCCGTGTAGCAGCCTCTTGCTGGTCTCGGAGCGGCTGGTGGCGGCCGACGACGAGGACGGGGGCGCCGGCCTGGCCACGCAGCAGCACCGATGAATCCTCGTCCATTTGCGCTCGCAGAGAGAGCGCGATATCTCCTGGCGCACCTCGCCGTTCATGAAGCAGTACAGCACGGCCACGAAGAAACCCTGCGGAGAGCAGACGCATCGGCGATAACCGAGTGTTAATCCTGTATGTATGCCGCTACGTGTATAGCTGCAGGCCGCCACCGCGGGATTATTTCACGCCCATCGAGAGCTGCCTGTGCATTGTATTACACAGCGCGGTATTCAAGTAGTAATGCCGGCGCTCGGTCAGACGTGCCGAGCGATAAACGAGTCGGACACGCTACGATCTACACGTTGCGCGTTATCGCGAGCGTATTGTCTATATAGTAGTAGCTGTGCTTTGTTGCGCGTCGAGCTTGTTTTTTTTACAAACCTGAAAGGACGAGATCAATTGATCGCCAAAGAGCCAAAACAATTCGATTTTCTCGTTGACCCCGACGCTGTACGAGAGCCAGAAAAAGATGGACGAGTGCATGCCGAAGAGCGGCACCAGGACCAGCGTGCTCCTCGCTAATCTCCTGTAATTCGATATTTGTCTTGGTAACTGTCGTCTAGTACTTTTCACCTCGACAACAATGAACGAGAAAAGATTTTTTATGCCGTTGATAAAGCTGCAATACAATAAAATAAATGTTCGCGGCGCTACTCCATCGCATATTGACTTTCTGGTATGGGTACATGCTCGAGAGAGCAATTTTTTGAGCTCAGGCCGATATTCCTTCTTCATATTTCATCGTTTCATCTAGTCATATAGAAGCACGGATATCGCTCTGAACTCTGCATACGAGAACAATAGGATGAGCGTATAAAAAGGTGTACGACATTAAAAACATTGAGCACTCGTTTTCTCTTGCGGTCTCGAGGATTTTTTTATGTATAATATTTTCTTTTTTTAAAAACGTCATGCGCCGCATGCCAAGCTTATAAGATTCAAGAGCGAGCTCAAGCATATGGAACAATAAATTGTGCATCCGCCGACTCACCTATAATCCTTATTGTGCTCCTCGGAAGACGACGGCGCCAGTTTCGATCTCAAAACTCCCACGATTCTTATGAACATGATAAAGTTGGCCTGAAAAATTCATTGAATGCGATTCGTCAAGTTCTCTGATTCTCGAATCGACGACGAGTTAAAAAAAAAGGATATTATATGCGTCTATCGAGCAATGACAACTCACTACTACAGCACAGAGCTCAGCCCAGCGAATGACCTCGAAGCTTATCGTGCCTTTGTGCGTCGACCAGCAATAGTAATCTTCGTAGAGCGCGCGTATCAGCACCCAAACAGCTATGACCGCAGTGGGCAGTCCTGGAAAACAATAAAAAACAAAGACATAGCATCGGTGCTGGCTTCGAAGCTCGTCGCAATAAAGCAACAGCTCGAGCGGTTCGTCGGCAAAAAAGGGAGGGAAAATTGATTACCCCAGCCGAGACAGGCGTAGACGGTGATGCTGGCACTGGAGTCGCTGAACATGGTGCAAAAGAGCAGATTGTGCAGATACAGGCACTCGATGAAGATCCACGAGTAGTTGGCCATTATGCAGTACTCCCAGATGCTGGAGTAGAGCTTGCAGTGCCAGTTGCCCTCGACGGCCTCGACGTTCCAGATGCTCTCGCCGCTCTTGAGTATCATGTTCGAGGTCATGCTCATGCCGGCGATGGCGGGCACGTGGCGCAGCAGCGATGTGATCGCTCGCAGGATGAACGACGTGAACAGGTGCATGTGCAGCCGATTGCGCGGGCAGCGCAGCTTTCTAAAATACGGAATGTTCATATTTACTCTTACTGTCATACTGTAAGAGTAAACATTAACTCTGTTGTGTACAAAACATCGACAGATTTAAGCGTGTTGATTGCTTGTTAAATGCCAATTTTTCAAATTACCCAAAGAGATTCTAGGCTTAATTTACTACACTTGATAAAATGCCATCATTTATTCCAAAAATCTTGAGAGGAAACTTATTAGTTGGGTTAAAAAGTTTTGTGAGTGAAATATGCTCGAAGCGCGATGAAAAACCAAAAATTTTGCAATTCAAATTAAAGTCGTAAAACACATAGAGCAGAAGGATGTGAGTTAGCTGAGAATTTACACTTATACTCACTTGAAATTGTGAAGGAGGCAATAGGCAACGATAAGCGTCAAGAGCGACACTGTGTATCCAGTCACAGATATGTACTGCAATGCCGGCAAAAACTTCAAATGAGCCTGTGGATGAGATGAAAGGCTCTTTTAATAATAAACATCGATATTATAAGCCCGACAATTTATTTTCGATATTTCAATCGAGCTTTAATATTGGCCAAATTTAATTTAAAATAATAAGGCGATTCGTAATTATCTATTGGCTATGAGCAAGCGTTAGCCGAAACCATAATATCTCTCGGAAAGATTCAATATTTGCTCTCGCTACATTGGCTTATTATGAGATTTCATTAAACGTTACATGTGTGCGTACGCATGAGTAATAGCGCAGCGAAAGCCACCCATACAGGGCAAAACGTCGATTACGTAAAGTCAATAATTGATATTACTGGTGTTCGCTTTCTCCTCTCATATCAAGGAGTAAGGGTTCTCGAAAAATAATCAAGCGCGCAAAAGAATGTAATATTTTTTTAAGGACGATCCTCTCGTTACGAACAATCGATCTCGGTCGAGGGGCTTGTACGTGTCGCTGTACGTGACACGTTTTTGTTCATTAAATTCTCGAATTGCTTGGCTTGGAGTCGAAAATGAAAAATAGAAAATGGCACTGCGCAAGAATGGATTCAAGTGCGATACGACACACCTCGCGATCGAAAACAATAGCCCGAGCTGTGCGCGCGTGTCTCGCATCGGAGCTTTCAAAAAGGATTTTTATTTAGAGCCAAGTTCTCGTGTATCTTGTAATGAAAACGCGCAAATGACGAACTGCGACCGACGCGAAAAATAAAACCAATGGGAAATCATTTGCAGTGGATATAGCACCTCTCGATGCAGCAGTTTTTCCAAATGAACATCGAAAATTCGACGTAATTGGACACAACACTCGACGCAGTTACAAAAGGCGAGCTCCTGTGCATTTATTATACTGCTTGAAATTCGATCGAACGCGAGAATCGTGCAAACACGTGCGCGCATCGGTTCTTTACATCTTGCAGGCTCGCTCGTGCGATTATTAAATTACCCCGCGTCGGCCCTGCAGCACATGACAACAATTTGCAAAGCTTGATACGAAGAATGCGCGTGTTTGCGCGTGTACGTATGCAGCGTTTGCGAGCCGTAATTTTACGGAGCCATTGAGATTAAAATCGCAGCTCGGCTAGCGCCGCTGTGATCTCTCATGACTCTGCGGGAAATTTGTAAACCTTGGCATAAGCACGTTTCTCGCTGCGTCCGCGGCTTCCGGGGGAAAGGCAGAAAAAACTTTTTATTTACGCGTTCGCCCAGAGAATCAGAAAACTTATCGCGTATATTTTTCTTTCTTTGCCCCCTAACCCCCTGCCTCGGGAACAAAGAACGTGCTTACACGCAGTAATGTACATATATACAAAAGTTTCGTTGGAACTTTTTAAGCGCGTCGTAAGTGCCGCGCTGCTTTTAAAAGGGTTTTTTCGCTTTAAATTAAGTGGGCTCAATTTATAGACACGTTTTAATTGTCGTGTTGTCGAGCTCGCGCTTGCGCGGGTTTAACATTGTTACGAGTATCGAGCTTCCGATTCTTATTGCCGGAGAGTGCTGCACTGTAATAAATAAAAAAAAGGGGAAAAAAAAGGAAATGCACATCGTTAACTGCATTCGAGCCGCAAATTGACTGTACACCGTTGTACGCGAGTGTGTGTGTGTGTGTACGCGGATCGAAAAGCTTTTGGCCCAGGCGGCACTAATTCGTTGCCTCTCTCTCTTGCTATCGAGGCTTGAACATTTTTGGCCTCAGCTCACTCGCAGGCAATTTCCGATAGTCAAACAAGCTCGTATATATGTGCACTATATGGTGGCATTGCTCTGTCTTTGCGAACTGCTCCGAGCGCATACGCGTTTTCTCGTATCGATTTTAAATTAGCTTCCCACTGAGTCGCTGTGCACATAATGTAGCGGAGGCTCGAAATTCGAAAAATATGGCTGAGAAGCGGATAAGCATAATGCGAGCTCGGGATAACTAATGCTACGACGCCCAGCAGTGGATTTATGCACTCGAAATAAGGCGAGCGTCGAAATAAGCTCGCTCGAAATTAGAAATAGTCGCGATTGAAAAGTTATTTTACAAATAGGCACGAGCAGCTCGAGACAGCTCAATGTTGCTATAAACATTTGCTATTTGTACAGCCGAGCAAGTGTCGCGCGGATAGCCGATTAATTATACATGCTGCGTTACGAGACAAGGACATTAAATCGAGCGCGCTACGTAAGTAGTGTGGATTTTGCGGCGTGGCTTTTCATACTCGCCGTACGACGCAAAGTTATATGGATTTAATCGCGCGCACACACACATATGCTCGGGTTGAGCAAACGAAAGGATTAATTGGCAAGTTGAGAGGAATAGGGGTTGGTGCAGCCGAGTGTAGAGGCACTAATGCGCTGGCGGCCCGCAGCCGAGTTCAGTAGCCTACATAAGGTAGGTTATAGGTATATATAGTGGCGCGTGCATAACATTACGTGTATGTAGTTTGGCGCGCGACCTCGAGCACTCGGAGCTCCGCTGCTATGTGCTATATGATATACGACTCGGTGGTGTACCCCCGCACGCAGGTGACAGGCTCGTGTGTAAGAACCCAAGCTCTTGGCGTGCATCTATATGCGCGCGGCTCTACATTACGCCGCATTATTATTATCCAGCCGCCGACTTTGCACAATATACGAGTGCACTGCCAAGTTTCGGATTGTCTTTTGATTAGTAAGAAGTATACATATTGCCGCATTATATAAGTGCATTATGCTCGTGCAGCATCCGACTAAATTTATATGTTTAACGCGACCGTATACCGATGACGCTCTGCACTCCTCGCGTCTTGCGCCACATGTATAATGCGCGCGGCATTGTTCTCTCTCTCTCTCGAGTTTCGGCTATTCTCTGCCGCCGTCTGCGCTCGCGTGTAGCACATACGTATACGCATCGCGAGCATTAAGCATGCCTCCGTGCAATATTATATGCATTGCAGTTTGCGCAGTGCGCGAATTGCACGCGTGACAAGACCGGCTGAGCCCGAGAGTACGTTATACAAACCGACTTGACTTATAATGTATTATTATAACAGTCGGTGACGTTCGCGAGCCCTGGCCTGTACTATGATATTTATATATATAAAGGACGGCAGTAGCTTAAACGACTCGCACGACCTGCACCGTCGCCTAGTCCTAGAAATATAAGCTGACCTAATAAGTGCTCTACGGATCTCTTGAATGAGCCCCTCAGGGTCAACTCTCGCTTGTTCTCGCCGCGTATAGTATATATAGATACACAGGTCGCGCCATGTACCTATAGGTATATATGCCTTAGCTCTACTGGCCTGCGGCCAATTTATCTGCGACATGGAAATGCTGGTAAATTAGGTGCGTATACCGCATATATACGTATAGTCGAGTCGATAATTGAACTTACGTCGGAGAAATTGCCAGTGCCGCTGTCGGCGTTCATATCGACGACCACCGTCACCAGAGACTGATTGTAACATCGGCTGTAGTCGCTCCAGGTACTGTTGGTCTTGCTGTTGAAGTACCACTCGCCCGACGACGTGCACTGCTTCGTCGCGTTGTCCTGCAATCATCGACCGATAAACGTCAAAATTATCTCCATCGAGACACTATTTATTGCAAAATTTCTCTAAAAATATTTGCGTGGGTGCGCTGTCCTTTACACGCTCGACTCAATTACTCAAAATGAAATACCGCGTACCGTTATTCTTTGCTCGATACCACGTAAAAATGCAGTTTCGCAGCTACAACATTTTTTCCGTCGGTATTAGCCTATGAGAGAAGCGCGGCCTACTCGCATTCTCATCGTGTCGTAGCTGCACATAGAACTTGATATCTTGCGATATTGGAGAGGGGATCTGTAGTAAGAGAGAGACACAGCGAGGGAGAAAAAGCTCGCACCGCACGGCAGTCCCTATCGTGTAAACAACGCTTACTCGTCTCTCCAACATTTTTCCCGGCACTTTAAAAATAAAATTTTCTCTGCGAGCTCGTTACTTTTTTCCTCTCGCTCTCTCTTTTTCGATCCCGAGCTCTCTACCCACGTCCGCTGCTCGCGTGCAGCACTGCAGGCTTGGCTGCGCAGCGCCGGCACACGCGCACGTATTGTCTCGGTCTGCAGCAACACGGAGGCAACGCGTAGCACCCGACGCGATGATGGAGTGCAGCGCAGAGCGACGGCTACTTACTCCTTAGCCAGTAGATCATGCTTCTTTCGACTTAATTACCTAAGCGTGAGAGAGAAAAAAAGGACAGGCGCGGAGAAGATAAAATATATATACGAGCCGTGCGGGCGGCAAGAAGTTAATAAGTATCGCGCCAGCTCGGTGCGGCGAGAGGAAAAGACCTCGGGGACTCGAGCGCGTGCGAGCGACAATTCCCCGGATATTCCAAATGCCCCTATAGAAGAGAGCACGAGAGAGACGAGCTGCGTTTTTACATTTACATATATTGCGCTATACAAACGTTGGCCCTTTGCATATCTTATGTCTGCGCGGCGGCTTACATAGATAAAATTTATAATACATGTGAGGTATGATAATGAAAAAAGTCGACGAACCCTTAAATCGAATCCCGCGATGTACGTTGGACAGGACTGTACGGCCAACTCGCCGGGTGGCGTCGACGGCCAGCACAGGATTCCGTCCCAAGTTGTCGGGCACCAGCCTGGAAAATTTCAATTTCTTTTATCAACTTTGTCGAGGACATAATGTAATATAGAGTCACAAAAATCCCGACTGTATTATCATAATATTTTTTCAAGGTCAATCAAATCCCGGGGCCTTCTTGACTCACCGTTATAAATGGTTATTGGCTGGCTTCCTTTCTCATTGAAATATTTTTCATACGCTCTACATTTATATTTTATTTTATTAAATTTTAAATGAAAAAATAATTCGTCCCAGATGAGAAAAAATTTTTCTCAAACTTTTCGCCCGTTAAAACGCAATCGCAATTGCTGAATTCAAGAGTATTCATCTCTTTTCACCTGCAAACGAATTGATATTCTTCCTCTGGACTTCAAATTACACGAAAAAAAAACCATCTTACAAATTATGTTGTAAAACTAATTTTTTGCTAACAAGTTAAAAGTTATCTTGATTCAGGAGCGGATGAGAGATTACGATTGCAATTTCTATCGCGCTATATTGTTTTTTGTAAAGAAAAGGTGAGTATGTTTTTGCGCAATTTTTCTTTTTAATGTCGTCAGTGATAGAAGTAAATAAAATAGAGCAGAAAAATTTCTCCAGATTACGATGAGTTTTTTATGTACGACCTAACAGCTGTATAAAAAAACTAGCTCTCTTAAAATAGCATTTTGATTCGTTCGATATATTTTTCTCGCTATTTTTACCACGCTATTTTCTGCTATTCGACGCTTATGGAAAACGTTTTATTTGCCAGCGTTTGGTTTAGAAATTTCGCACTCGGGTTCAAAAAGAGCATGTCGCGAAAATATATTGCAAGAAAAAACGGTTTCCCTCGAAGCGTAGAATAGCGAGCTCGGCTTTCCTAAAAAAAATAATCTCATCAGCAATTTTTGCACATTCTTTACTTCTGCTTGTACTAGAGCTATAAGTATTTTTTCATTACATCTTCGAGGTGGAATTTTTCGAAGGCGACGTGATTCATGAGCAAAAAAAAACGATTGATTTCGATTCGATGTTGTTGGCGAAAGGAGATTCAAGGAAGCAAAGCAGAAATGCTGGAGCAAAGATGGAAAATACGTCGGATCTGACTTAACGCCGGAGAGAGAGAGAGAGAAAGAGAGAGAGTTTGAAAAATTTCTTCATCGAGCAAAATAAAAAGTAATTTGAATCCCAGGAAATTGCGCATCATGAGCAGCACGCGACACAGCACAAGTTGGCAGTGTACAGTGCAGCCGACTTTATTATCTAGCGAAGCTGTACACGATGACGTTAAGTTGGAGGCGCGGGAGAAAAACGGGAGGCCGTTGCGCACGGCCGAATGAAATCTTGGACGCTTAGCTCGCTGTCGTAATAAACGCTCTTCGCGGTACAGATATCTATAAAGTCGGTGTCGAGTGTCGTCGCGCAAGCCGCACCACGAGGCAATAACGACAGATGCACATCTGTTCGCAGTTGCTCGCGCTTTACAAGGCTTTCTACGACCGCAAGAGGGAGAGATAAGAGCTCGAGATACGGCCGGGGTGCAGCAAGCCGTGCTATATACGTCCGTCCGCTGGTGCTCGCGCGCCCGCGCCCTACCGAGTCGCTCGGAGCGCTTATGCATCTTGCATATATATTGATTTATGCGTACATTATACGCGAGCCGAGCCAGATAAGCGACTCCTTTTCATTGCGGCTCTGAGCTGACAGCTCTGTAAGACGTTATTTTTGTACGCTATTTTCGTACGCATCCTGCGAGCTTATTTGGCTCTCGGCGCCAAAGTTTCTCCTCCTGCTTGAATAAAATATCATTTTTCCGCGGCGACTCCAGGCGGCCTTTTCCTCTTTTTTCTTTATCGAAATATGTATATTTAATAGAGATAGACTCGAGCGCGTGCGCGCGTCAAAACGGAGCCAAATCGAGGTTCTGTGATCCTATACTCGTGTTATAACAAGTCGGAAAAACTGTGCCACGACGACAACGGCGGCAGCTGTCACATCTAAATTGAATAATTTAATAAGACAAGCTTAGTTAATCATTACTTTTATTGAATCGATTTAACAAGAAAGGCAGCATAAGCAGGAGCTGCGACGCGATTCGCTCCTTTTATTAGTCGCGCGCGCTAGGCGCTGCGAACTGTCATCTACGCGCGAGGAATATGCAAATTTCCAAAAGCTGTCGGCTTACTCCGAGCGGGGCTCATTGATGTTTGCTCTGTAAGTTAGCTGCACAATTTATACGATGCTCGCAGCTGCATCGGAGCGCGTCTGTTACATGTCGCGATCCTGCGAGTACACTTAGTCGTTGCGATACTTCTCGGAGCGTGACTGCTTTCGAGGGTTTCCATATACTATCCTCGGTTTGAAACGTGCAAAGCAATTGTTTCCCTTTTCAATTGCAATTACCATGGAATTCGACTGTATTACATAATGCATGAGCTTTATAAAATTACGAATTGCTCACGACTCCGTAAAATTAAATGACGCTAAAAAACGTGAGGTTTTCATATGACGTGAGGTTATCATACAATCTGCGGGGTCAACGTTTTTTCGTCTAATTTTTGGTAATTAATGCGGTAAAAATCTTGATCTGATTTATTGCATCGTATCTCCGATCTGTTTGACACGCATGCGGTTACATGTTGCATCGACGATGTTCTTACCCAAGTACGTTTTACAATTATAAGTTCAGAGGCTATTTTCTCAAAATCTTTCCTTTTTAAAAAATCAAGTGAAGTCAATTAATTTTAGTTCTGATTGGTCGTCGCATTTGACATTTGCGCATTGAGAGAAAAATGAAGGATAAATTTTGAAATATAATTCATGAAAAAAGCCTGAGGCTAGGGCTAGGGCTAGCTGAGGTAGATAAACCTTTTAAAGTCATCATCGCGCTGCCTCGAAGATTGGAAAGTAAGACAATGCTGCCCGGGATGAGCTATCGACTGCTAGTACCTTATAAATAAGGAAAATCATAAAAAAGAAGGGTCAGACCCGGTTGCTACCTTGGTTCTGGGTCTGATGCAGTCCTCTTCAATCCTCGTTAAAAGGTAAATACAATTGAATTAAAAGCGCTTATACAGCGCAGTACATCGGTCTATAGTAATCTCTTACGTGGAATAGCCCTTGCCTGTTGACACAAGCCTCGCGCAAAGTATGAGCTTGTGAAAAAACGCCACATCCGATATTTGAGATTAATAAATCAGAAATATATATATTTTCTCGTCTTTTTAGTTTTCGATATTTTTGATTGACTTTTATCTCATTATTTTGTAGCTTTCAATAAAATTGAATAATTTAATTGACAGCTTTAACTTCAATCATTATGATAAGTTATGCACGACGATGTATGCAATATACGAATTATTGCGATTTTATTTTTGTAAATACAACATTTTATGATGAGACTATAACAATTCTCATTGGCGATTCGACTTTATAAAGTATGAATTTTCATTTAAATTCTAGTGAACGATTATATTCAATAAGGGAAAACAGATTTTTTTCCAACTTTCATGACGAGTTCAGTTAGAAAGTACTTAGTTCAATGGTGTAAGTAATTCTTTTCCTAAGGGTCCAAACTTTTAAATATCTACATTTCGAAACTTTTCATGTTGTAAATTAATCTTATCATGCAACTCAGCTTTTCCCTTGCATAAAAAGGTCATGGATTTAATAAATAGAAAAAAATTTATTTCACTGATGATTCTATTTTAATTTTGAAAAATGTTATAAAAAATTAAACATACCATCTAGTGTACTGGAGCCATTTTTGCAAATCTGTGCTTGTGCCAGCAGCATTTTTGCCTGCATTTCCTCACTTTTGTAATTAATATCCTCCTGGAAATAAATGAAAAACAAAATTACAGAACATATATTTAAAGTGACTTATACGGAAGATTATTGTTTGCATTCGCATAAGACGGGGCAAATATTTATGGCTACGTATTGCGTATTGTTCGCGTAGCTCGGAAAAAAGGCGCGACTTGCGAGACTTTTTCTCCCCATAATTTAGTGCAAATTAAAGCACACAAACATGTAAGGGATGTTCTTTCTGGATATATGAGCAGTGGGGGTCATGAGAGTCTCGCGCACGGATTATACGCTTACACGAGAAATGGGTTCTTCTTCACCCATGCGAAATATGTACAAAAAGTACACGAGAAGTTCTAATTATTTTGGATCTAGTTCAAGTTTCTAAATTGTACGTATCAATTCAAGAGTTTTTACAAAAAAGGCGAGCTATGTACTAAATGAGAAAATTTTTTATATTTGTTCATACGTGCGAAATCCCATCAATTTTATGATTATTAATTCACTCAATGTCCCAATGTTTTTCGAATTTATTTCGTTCGTGTAAAACTTGAGTAATCTTGCATCCATATTCATTATTTAATGTTTATTATTTTTTCTTTAAATACTTCATAAACATCTCCATAATTTTAACCATCTTTACGTTGTTTATTAGAACTAACGGTTATTTTTATGAATTTTAATAATTAAAATATGAGATTCATGTGATGAATTTCAAGAAATTTATTAACTTATGGAATGACAAAGCTTTTCGGACATTTGCCATCGATTCAATATCATAAATATAGATAAAGAAATGTCCTAAAAGTCAATGTAGTCAAAGTCAAAGTAATTCCAAATTTCATAACAAGATTCGTAAATTCTATTAAATAACATTTTAGGTACATACAGAAATACTGACGATAGCGTACAAATGTGTTTGCTATATGTTGAAAATTTTACGTGCGATCCTTCGATGTGCGTAGCGTTATGGCATGCAAAGAGGGTAAAACACGGGTCTGGACACCACATGGAGAGGTCATGCATGCTCCGCACAACGTAAACAACAGACCAGGCTTAGCTCTCAGCGCTCTTCGCCAGTTTTTCTGCGTAATTCGTTCGCTCATCACAGAAATTTTTGATTTATAATAATATCATGATTTTTCCAATTATATCTTATCACGTAAAAACATTGTTCAAATTTAAAAAAAATCAATAAATATTGCAAGTAAAATGATACAGATTGGTAGCTAATAAAACGTTGAACCCTTTATGTTTTTGAAAATTTTTAATCTCATTCTGGCGTGAGATAAAAGTAATTCGACCAATCAGGAGTTGTTTTAAACGGGCTCACTTTTTGGTCTACTACTCTATTACAAGGGTTATAATATTCGATAAAAAATTAAGAAAAAAGAAAAAAGATATTGTATTTTATTATCGGGAAGCCTAATGTATCTTTTGCGAGTAAAATTTACGTAAGCAGATGCTTGGCACATGCAATGCTATTCTTAATGAAAGAAAACTATTAGCATTTTTTATAGCTTTTCTTTATTAATTTTTTACTTAATTTTATGAAGCAGTATAATTTCAATTTAAAAATTTTATCTTCCAATTTAAAAATATTTATTACAAGATATTATATGCATGTATGCAGCTTTTCACTCTGTAATTAACTGTTTGGAATTTTTTTTTGTTTTTTTGATAAAATTATGTCATTCGACGTTTCGCATGCAGCATTAAGCATAATTATATTAAAAAATTAAAATTATTTTAGATATGTTTTTACCAACGAGAGTTCACTTTTGATAGTCTGTAAAAAGTGAGTACAAAGAATTTCTTAATAATTTATTTATAAAACGTCTAACCTTGCTCCATTCACAAGAAATTATTACACCTTCAGATTAGACATTCGCACATCATACGATTATAGTCCGCTATTATTAATAAATATTACCACCGTAAGCCACTTATTAATAAATCCCATAATTCTGCACCTACCGAAAATTGTATATTTTCAAATCGGATCAATTATAACATGAAATAAGCGATTGTAAAAAGAAAAACTATGTTTCACAATATTCGAATGAAAAACTCTTGACTATTCGCATACTTATTCATTAATAACTATTATAACGGAGGCTTTCAGGGTTTGATTTACTTGAACCAGTAAGTTGCTTTCCAATTTATAAAGTATTTGCTTGATTTTCTCATTCGAAATAATGGGTACTTATATATTACTGCAAATTTATGTGGCTCAAACTGGAACGTATGCCAAGTATGCAACCAAGTGCCTCTAAAATTGTTTGTTTTGGCTTCCCTTACTTGTGTCAGTTTATTTTTTTAGTACATACGAGCCCTGATTGCTTGTCACCGTGACAAAGTCTTGCGATGCAATGGCAGTGACACGTACACTCAAAGCCAGTGCCTACTGAAAGCAAGCACATGTGCTTTTATTTAAATATTTGCTTAGGCAAAGACTCTACATATACTTGCAGAAAGGCAACCAGATTAACGCTATTTTGAAGTAAATTTAGCCGCTGATTGCAGTTTTAAGACATGAACTATCAAGAATTTGAATTAATTGAATAATATTTTTGAAATATTGTACGCATGGACCTTATATTTTGATGTCCTTTTATGACATACAAAAAAAAGTACAGTCTCTTTTATACCATTTTTGTGCGCAGAAAACCTGGGAATAAATTTCAGAGAGAATTTCAGTTTCAAAGGTCAAAATTAAAATTCACGCAATAAAAATAATTAAACAAAATTATGAAATTGAAAATTGAAAATTCGGCATTTATTTCCAAGTATACTCGCTGTTGAATAACCCATTTGTGCTTGGACAAAGCTTACAAGATATATGTATAACATGCCCTGTCAATGAAAAATATGTATTATATGCTGCCTGGTTCAAATAATTCACGAGCCGCAATGATATTATTTTAAATATTTTGTGACTGTATGACATTTTACGAATCGTGTATTCTTTAAATTAATGATATAACAAGTATGAGAAACCCTTGAAATTAAGAACAAACATTTCTATCTGTGAACGTGTTTAATTATTAATTTTCGATTCATGCATTACACATATCAAATTATACATTGTTGAATTTCACGCTATTGTATATAATACAAATATTTGAATCTGAGAATTAATAGAGTTAAACCCATTAAAATCTAAAGAAAAATCAATTTTCAGTTTGAAATACGAGACATTGGCGTACAGTGGCGCATATCAATTTTTCTGTTATTCAAATATTGAATGTTTTGACTTATTGTTTCAAAAACCTGACCTGACTTATAAGTGAGCGAAGTAAACTCGTTTTTCTCTTTAAAAAGTTTTTTTGATAAAATTATAAATTATTATAACCAAACAATATCTTAATTAGCTGCATTTCGTCTAAGAAAATAAAATACAACATTTCGTCTAAGAAAATAAAATTCCTGTTACTCATGAGATAATAGTGCTGTATAAAACATGAGTACGAAATTAATTATGTTTGATGGAGTCTTATTTACTGTAGCTCAAAGCGATACTCTTCGACAAATTCTCAACTATAAAAGTGGTGTATACTTGCCGCACACTTTTATCTGATTAGATGGATTGAGCTGGCTGCATTATCAATATATTTTTTTACTATCCAAAAATAATAATCAGTTTTATCCACGAGTTCAGATTTATAACTTATTGAAGTGTAAAACTATTAGTTGTGCCACTATATTAAAACTGTCTCATACTGCTACGAAATTTTTTTCCATTTGACAAAAAAATTTTACTTTAATTTAAAAAATGTCTCCAAATGGAAACCAAAGAAATAAGATTGAGTTGTGTGGATTTCTGAGTGAATCATATGAATTTTAAAATCGTGTTTTCAAGGTGCAAAAACTTTTTCAACAAGAATTTAAATATTTAAAAAAAAGTAATACAACTAAATTTCCAGTTGCGGCTACTTTGGTTTTTAGTACCGGGATTTACATACACACTTTATCCCGGCTGCTCACTATTATATTTTTTCATGTAAGTATTTTAACATATGAATTATACACTAGCTCAGGAAATGTTTCCATTTCTTTTGTTTACACTATTTAAAAAAGTAGAATCATACAAAGCAACCGAGATTTTATTTCTTTTTTGAAAAAATTATGCATTTAATTTCATTGATTTTATGACAGTTAAAATTATGTCAGATAATTAACAAAAGCCCTTATGGATCGTTAAAAAAGCTTGAACAATTTTATTGAAAGTTTAAATTTAAAATCCAAACAATTTTTTGAAAAAATTTTGTGCTTGAAAGGTCAAGTGGTCTCGTTTCAACCATACAAATTTTCTGACAATAGTAATTTTTGTTTTTTTTTTAGAGCTTTAACAAAACTTAAATAATTTATCAAAATGTTACCACTCAAACTACTCCACTTTCATCCACTTTGACATCAACTTGCTCTTCAATTTCACTTACATATATCTACGTCATACGCGTCACGGAAGACTTGACCGCGTGTTATAAAGCTCCTGTGCAATATCTGGGAAAGCTGCAGAGGATACATCATAATCGCAGAGGAAAAAGTGGAAGTGAAAGAGAGGCAAAGAGAGAGAGAGAGAGAGAGAGAGAGAGAGAGAGCATTGAGGAGTAAAAAGACGAGTTGTGGTATTAAAAAGTTTAGAGTCATGATATAGCAGTATTCCGTAGAAGAATTTACGAGCTGTAAGAATGTGATCTCCGAGATTACCAGACTTGTGCCATAGCTTTTTCAAGAATATCATTTATAAAAAAATCATCCAACACTCGGCTCGTACGAGTGTTACATAAAAAAAATTCAGCTGGAAAGTCTCAACACGCCCCGTGTTTTAATGAATAAATGTGCGCGAAGAAATGTCGAGTTGCCTATACGTATGCGTATCGGCCTTTAACGTACAGGCAAGCGCGATTAGAAGCTGGAAAACGCGCTATATTTTGTGGCTTCAGTTTCTGCATCATACCAGTCTATTTGGCTTTTAACCTTCACGCGATTATCCAAGCATGAATGTTAATCTACCCAATGAA